CATCAGGGCACAGGCCTTCCCTATGGATGGAATAAGGAGATTGGGCCATAACCCACCACGCGGGCCCAGTACGGATTGGCGGGTGTTTACGACTGCAGATGCAGCCGGGACCAACGGATTAACGTGCCTTCCGAAGCACGGAGGAACTAAAGAGATTTTTGGTCACCCATCCAATGACCGACCACTGCGAAAGTTGCTTAACTTCAATAATCGCAGCCAAACGCGCAAAACACCTGCGCCATCAAGCTCCTTTGTAGACAACAGTGGTAGCAAATTTTACGCTATAGGAATTGAAGACCAAATTGCTCCAAGAAGGAAAAGTCAGCCAACCGATAACCACGAACTGGCTTTGGTGTCTAGAAAAATAGAAAGTGTTATAAAATATTTTTCCTGGTCAACTATTTGAGGTTACAACGGTTGTAACTTTTTTGTTATAACTACACCAAATTAATTAGCTTGATCACTTACCAACATCGGTGCTATCAATGGATAGTTTTCAGCCTCTGCAGTCTTCATTGTTGTTAAAATTCGTCAAATGAAAAAAATATTGCTAACAACAAGAAACTTCTCTTTGGCTAGTACAGAACTTTCTAGACGTAGACAGACTACATTTCTGCGTTTTGATTCACAGCTATGAATGATGAATTTTAGTAAAATAACCTAGAACCTGGAACCGACATGGAAAGAAAAGAAAATAAATTGAAAAAAAAAATAGAAAAACTTGCGATAATGCGATTGCGTCTTGCGATGCGAATGGAGTCACAGACAGTGTGACCAACCTTAAATTATAGATCCTGCCCCGCTTAGACAAAAAAAATGACAAATCCTGCCAAACTTTTATGCACAAAATGCCGAAATAATGCCAATACAATTTTACAATTTAAAATAAATAGTCGCATGATTTTTTTTTATATTTTTATTTTAAATAGTTATACATTAGTATTAGCCTCGTATTCTTCTTGATCAATTTCTTTATATTTTTAATCATATCGTTTGTTGGCTGGAATGAAACGCAGTCACCTTAATCTTTAATGCCTTGTTTTACATGCAAAATAAAGGCAACATATTTATTGATAAATCTGTTCCGGGTTATTGTTTTTATAAGGTTGATTTGCGATAATATTCTTTCACAAGCAGCATTCGACATTGGCAAACACAACAAACATTTTACAAAATTTGAAATATTTACGTATTTTAAGTTACCATTTGAATTTCATATTTACGTTTCATGGTAATATGGTAACCATTCACACACACCACACGAAATCAGAAACAAAACAAATCTGTGTCTCCGACAGTTTTTCTAGTCCGACTAATTACATAAACAACTGACAAATAAAGATGTAGGTAATATAAACATTACACTCCGCGCTTTAAGGTTCACAATGGAATGAACTACAAATTCAACTAGAGATGTTATGGGAAATCCCCGAAACAAAGGTATCGTTGCCAATGTTGCCATTGGCATTTTAAAATTCCTATCTACTGTTTTTTCGTTTGTCGATCCGCACCCTACTCATATTAAAGGATGTATTGCCAAATATATAAAAAAAGCTTATATTGCTATAACACCTTGAACGCCGTCAGGCAACCTAAAGATTATCCTGCAGGACGATAATTTCTATGAAAAAAATATAAAGTGATCGGCATGGCGTCCAAGGTGATAAACTGCCAAATACTGCCAGATTTCTAAAACGTCAAACAAATATGCCCGAGAGGAAAATAAAGGGCTAAACCTGCCGAAAAGGCAGGATCCTGCCACATATGGTCACACTGGTCACAGACCAATAAGAATGGAGTGCACGATATATATCGATATTTCATAACATATCGATATATGCGTGCGATAAATCGCTACCACCTATTCCCGAATTACGTTGTATCGATATGTACAATCGATATATTTCATCCGATATTCCAAATATCGTGAATTGAGATTTTTTTTTTAATCTTAAAAAAATTTTTTTTTATCTTTATATTTCTTTATTTAAGAACGGTTGGGAAAATGTCTCGTAAAACCCCAAATTATTGAAAAAGTAGCTTTCACAATAATGAAATGTAAAGACTATTGAAGTAGTAAATATTTTACAATCTATGTCCGTGATCCATCGACAGCGGAAGACGTAGTAAAATTCGAAACGTACCTGACAAACCTTGACCAAGTTAAATTCTTTCTAGTATTTTTTCCTTTAAATTTATAAATCGAGCAGATTTATGTTTAAATATTAAATAAATTAAAGTACAATTGCTTTTCTTCTTTTAAATGTTATAAATAATTGTAAATTCATTTAACAATATGGTTTACCTACAATTCCTAGAAATGACGCTGTCTTGCAGCCTAGAAATACTATACGATAGCATGACGGTTCGTGCCATGCTATCGAGTCGTTATCACATACAGCCAGAGCAGTGACAAAACGAGCGAACGATCTGCCTTTCACTGATTCCAGCTGGGAGCAGACGAACTAGAAGAGCGAACTAGTTCGTTTAGGGGCGGGCGGCGACCTAAACTGAGCGATCTCAGTTGCGAATTACTTTGCACAAGACTTAAGGAGATACGATATTAAATGGAATGAATGAATTTGTGAATTAGGGTAGGGATGACCTATCTGATTTGATCTTTTGGAAAAATCGATCACAAAATAGGATCAATTGATTCAATTGCATGCGATTTTGCTCAGATTGAATTCAATTACAGTCTGTCAATAGTCTTAAAAAAGGAGGTCACCACCACGGTAATATTATCTATACAGTGATGTCGATTCTGGCATGATTCTCTATAGCTAAACTTAAATTTGACAACAGTGCATCCTTCTCATTCTCTATACAGAATGAAAAGGAGAGACTGATGTTAAATTTAGTTTTAAGTTTAGAGAATCACGCCAGAATCGTCTCCAGTATTGTGACTCCGCCCTGTCCTTGAAAATAAATGCCTACACCGAACGCTGCGTTGGCACGCGGTAGGGCCGCCATCCTACAGTATTTTATGTAGTTTTGTTTTTAACGCGAGTGTAGGTAGATTACTCGTTTGTCTCTTTTTTCATCCTAACCACTTATTTATATATTATTCCAGATATTTACCCGATGGAAAAACCGAAATACCTAAATATTAGAAACAAATAACGTACTAGTAGATAGGTATATAAAAAATATTCTATAAAGGTAAGACACCTTTCCAATATTTCAGGTAATTTAAAAAATGATATATCTGGGTGTGTTATTGAAAAGTTCAAGCAACCAAAAACAGCAATTGTGCTGTTGTACGATATTGATCCTCGTTTGTTCTTTTCCATACTAAATTATGTAGGTATCTACTTAATTAAATCAAATATTTACAATACAAAACGCACGTTAAAGCACGGCTAACTGCATAAAAAACAATTCAGACCGTTCGGTCGTCGTTGCGGCGCGGCGCGGCGGCGCATTCGCGACTGGGTGCACGCCGAGCGCACATCGAACTCGAGTGGCGTAGGTATGACTCGCTTTCCGACCGTTTGTATGAAGATAGAATACTGTATGATATTATTACCGTGTCACCACCGTCGCTTACATGGGATCCCCGTTATACATCGACTAAAACGCTTTGATATTTGTTAAATATTAATACTGTATAATTATATAACTTCGAGATATTTCATTATTATCAGAGTCACTACGTTATGATTGAATTAAAAAATACTACTAATTTTGTAAACATGAAAATCTGCCGTTCATGGCAACCATCAAAATTTAGATTTTCCCTCACCACTGCTAATAGTTTTCGTAGTTTTCTCGTGCAAAAATATTTTTTTGACGAACCAATTGCACATAATATATCCTCACTTCTGTGTTTTCTATTTCTATTCTTAATATTTCGTCCACTATACGTCGAATTGTACTTTTGGAAATATCTGAAGCAAAGACAAGTTAAATGATAAACACTATGCTCATATTGAAATAATGTTGCAAAGGTATGAAATCTGTAGGGCGTAGTATAGGTTGTTAGTGAATTTTATAACCTCAATACAAAGAACAATGCATCTTATGCATCAAATCAGATGTAATTCTGGATGAAAACAAAAATGATGGTCACGGGAATAGAATTCATTTATTTAAGCCATTAATATTGCCTAAATTTAAAGAAAATTTTACTAGAAAAATTCCACGCAAACCAGGCAGCAGGCGGGACTCGAACCCGCACCCTCCGCTATCCGGGCGGATGCCCCCTTCGCTTCATTTTTAATTATAATAATATTCGTCGTCGGAATATAGATTGAGGTGTAGATCTTCTTAGCCTAGTCTAAGGCCCGTATTACAGAATGACAACTTGGTGTAGATCTTTACTTGACTTGAGTACAGTTAGAAAGGGATGTCGCTATGTGTTATATATAGCGACATCCCTTTCTAACTATGCTCTAGACTAGATTCATTACTGAGAATCTTTCTATAATACGAGCCTAAGCAGACCCCTCTTTTCCAGTGGGCACTTTGGGCAAGTGCCCAGGGCCCCGCGATCGATAGGGGCCCCCCTCAGATCAAATACAAAGTCCCTAGTTCCTGTCAGATCACCAACCGATAAACAATATTTATTACCAAAAACCTTATATGTATAATTCGATGAAATCGAACCTAAATTACTGATTACAATACCAACTTACTAGCTTTTACATAAGCGAAGCTATTCTGCTCTCGCCCAAAAATTAGGCTCTCCGATTTCAGCATGCTTAGATAAATTTAAATATACAATTAATGGTATACTCAGCACATACACATTTAAAGAAAAATCATCAGTAGTACATCAACATCAGTATTACTCGCTCCGTTTCAAGTCATAATCGACATCAATGTCATAGGGGCCCCATTATCCTAATATGCCCAGGGCCTCAATAGGTTAAAGACGGCCCTGTGCCTAAGAATGTTTCAATTTGATAGTTTATCCTTTGAACTTCGTTATAGAAAATTCGTTTCGCAGAAAGAGAGTAGATTCCCTGGTATGGATCTGTTGTTTATCTTTGGTCGTCGCTAGGATACACTTGGTTGATGTCACACAAAAATTTTTACTGACTGTATTTTTTATATTAGCCCTTTCTCACTCATAATTTTATATTATGCCTAAAGTAGTAAAAGATCCACACGAAGGAATTAAATATCACAATGTACGGAAATCCCGATGGGGTGAACCGGGGTGCTATCAGTTACATAGGTACGTCTTTACCTTTACATATAATTTAAGTAGTCATGGAGCCTAGATACCGTTTTTCCCGCTCGGAGGTGCCCCAAAAACTATCTTCTACATAATATTGAAAGATAAGCTTCTACATAAAGCGGGCTACTGATATCCCTGCCGCAGGGCCAATCTAGGCCGCACAGCGGTCGGCGCAATATCGGCTTGTCTCTACATTTAAGCCTGCTATCAGTGCCGTCTTTGACCTATTGGAGGCCCTGGGCATATTAGGATAATGGGGCCCTATGACGCCTGTTTGGTGATTTAACAGGAACTAGGGACTTTGTATTTGATCTGAGGGGCCCCCCAATCAATCGCGCGGCCCTGGGCACTTGCCCAAAGTGCCCAAAATTCAGTGTTCGGGTATAAGTTGAACTAAACACACTTGTTGATAATGGCCCCAGTATTATCGCCTCTTATTCATTATGGTTTTGACGACCTCCGTGGTCGAGTGGTTTATACGGCGGGTTTCGTGGTGACGCCGATTCGAGAGGTCCCGGGTTCGAATACCGGTGGGGGCAGATGTTATTGTGTGATGAATACGAGCATTTGTTCTCCAGTCATGGATGTTTAATATATATTTCTATATAAATATACTTATATATGTACAATATATGTATTCAATCCGTTACCCTAGTATCCCATAACACAAGCCTTACAGTGCTTATTATGGGACTAGGCTAATTGGTGTGTGTTGGAAATATTTATTTATTTTTATCAAAAAATCAAAAGATCAGTAGAACATTGTCTCTTTCTATGGTGTTAGCGCAACAAAGGAAATACTGGATGGAGAATTTGCAGCGGAAAGAAATGTATTGTAAATAAATAATGTTTGTTTTTTTTCCCACAAGTGGGGTCGGTCTTTATATACTTATACCACTCGAGACCAAACTTCATGCTCATTATGATCTGCCGCCATCTTGATCGAAATACGTGCGCTCCGTGTGACAGTTACCAACCAACTGATTGAGAAATAAGCCCGATCGCGTTACACACGCAGCAACGTGCAGGGCGGCAGGGACAATCTAGGAAGCAAGGGTGGTCTCGCGCCCCTGCCGCCCTGCCGCAGGGCCAATTTGTAAAATTGCCCCTGCTTACATACACATATCATAACTAAGGTGGCAATTAAGGGTCATCCTCACTCTTACACCCTAGATTGCGGCCTCAGATCCCTGTGGCAGGGATGTCAGTAGCCCGCTATAAGCTTCTCGCTACACATGCAAACATGGACTGCTTTCAAACAATCTGACATTGGAGTCACGCACACATTGCTTTTTTTTTTGAGTGTGTGTGTATGCTGTTGGTCGCAGATGACCTTTACAGCGTCACCGTCACCTAGGGAAGGGTTAGCCATTGTCGTGGGGGCACACACATTGCGTGTAATATGAGCCGTTTTCTTTGCGTGATTTATTTAGATTGCTCTAAACTGTACTGTAACTGTATTTCCTGGGTCCAAATGACATTTTTTGTTGAAAAGGTTTGTATCAACGACTTTTTTTCTGGCGCTTCGCCCGCCACTGCCGCGGCACGCTCGCTTTGCTCGCTCGGCAAATCAAATCGTTTATTTACAAGAAACATGGTAAAATACAATACATACAGTTTTTTTTTATTTATAAATGTCCATTAAATTTTCTGCCAATTTGGCATGCAAATGTCAATTAAAAGTTATAAAATGTAATAAGATTAATATATGTTCAATAAATATTACAATGTCAAATAAAATTAATTCAGTAAAAATAAATAATTCCTTAATATTAATCATTAAGTACACATTTATGTCCCAGTTTGAATTTTGTATTTATAATATTTTTTAATTTCTTAAACTTAAATAATTGTCTACAGAATAAATCATTTTTCTTGTAACCATATCTTAATTGAACTACGAAACTTTGTTATTTACAGATTTGCCAGCAGAGTTTAAATGACAACTCTGTTGGCAAGGCATTAAATATCTTAATGCACATTGCTGAACAATTCTTATTATAGAGACTAGTATTTGTTTTTACATTATGTGTGAGTCTATATCTCCATCTCTTTTACGTGTATAGCGCTGTCAGGCACGTTGAATCCAGCAGGATGGGTTAAACCCGTCACAGACGTAGCTATAATATATATTAATATATCGAGATTTATATTATATTACAGCAAACCACCACAGAAGGGAGCTATACCATAATATCTTCTTATATATTTTGGCAGGCGTTCAGTAATAAATGGAACATTCCGTGTCATAAAAATATATCAAAATATATATATCTGTGGACACATTTTGGTGACACCATTGAAATATATACTATTGCTGCGTGTGCGGTTACTCGAAAATTTATATTGAATATATATTGTATAAATGTCTTGCTATGATTTATATATTAATATATATTATAGCTACGTCTGTGACTGGCTTAAATGCGTAGAGAACGTTACGCAAACCATTGATTTGGTTCAGATATAGGGCTGCCATCTCTAAAATGTGGCAACCAGGATAAGACGCGTGATAACCCCGGATTTTGTTGCCCAGAACCCGGACAGATCAAAAAAAAACAGTTAAAAATGTCACAAATCAACTTTTTTATGTTGTACTAGGTAAAACAGCTAGCAGTCTACCTCGTAATAAGTGGTCACTGCTGCCCATGGACACTTGCAGCACCAAGGGCCACTCAGGCTTTGCTGTATTTTTTTTAACCCGGACTACAAATAAAATCCCGCCCGGACGCTCCCTGGACGCACCGTAAACTAGGACAAATCCGGGGAAACCCGGACGGATGGCAGCCCTATTCAGATACAGTCTTCTTTTCCAGACCTTCAGACTGCCGCCTCAAGCTGCCGGCCACCAAGCGCCCCATCCACAAGTGCGAGCTGCCGAAGCACGAGTACACCATGGTGCCGCAGATCGGGGGGTGGCGAAGCCTCCTCGTCCCGAAGACCACTCCCAACGTTTACCCGGCGGTCATGCACAAATCGGAATTCGAACGGCTGAAGAAACAGGCTAAAGTTATTGTTCTTTTAAAACCTTTGGAGCGATCTTCTAGGGAAACTACCTCCGCCTTACAGAAAACCACAGAAAAATAACACAAACTTTTGGTGGTGTTAGGTTAGGTTAGTAGGGCACCAGGGCTCCGCTCCGGTAGAGGATTGAGTTCTGGCCGACAAGGTGATGATGGCTGCAGCGTCACACTTTCTGCCGCATCATCTATCTTGGCGATTGGACTCTACTTACACTTACTATCCGATGGAGCGTGGTAATTTGTTGCGCCTCTAATAATAATAAAAAAACCTGTGTCTAAGTGTCACCGCACACGGGCCACCGACCACAACCACAAAACGCCGCCACCGGCATATTTCTTGTAGTTTTCATACATTTTATATGGACTCGCCACACACAAATCGTCGATGCTCGCTTTCGTGTGGCCCGCACCGGCCACTTAATGCGCCGATATAAAACGCCGCCACACGTCACTCGCGCGATTCCCCACCCCTCTCTCCCTTACCTTAGTCGGCCGCTGTCGAGCGCTTCAGCCACTTTAGTAGCAGCTTCTAGTCTCTCGTGGCGACGTTTGTGGCTGTGGCGTGTGACCTGTGAGCGGCGACACTAAGTAGTGTGTGGAAGAAGCGCATTCTGTAAATATTTATTTTGACTTCCTCCTTCTGCTTGCAAAGGTCCACATTGAGATACTTTTATCCTACTAAGTCACGTACAATGATTGTATATTTAATTGATAATATCAGCAACAGCGAAAAGGATTTCCATATGCAACGATCCTGCGTTCGCCGCATCCAGTGGGTTCCCCTGACTCGCTTGATGTCGCCAATCCACCTGATGAGTGCTCTACCGACAAAGCGCTTATTAATATGGAGGGAAGAGCGTTGCAGAAGTGCACCAAGAGACAAATCTCGTTTGTCCAGATATTTTATATTTACTCAAAAGTTTGTCGCTGATGAATTCCATGTTTATGTTTGCGCTCCCAGGCCATTAAGAAAGTCTTAGACCTTACAATATCGATAAATAATGACACGGTATTACATGGAGGAGCTTGGTTGCACAAGTGGTTAGGTCAGTCATTGGATGGTTGACCAATACTATCTCGAGTTCCTCCTTGCTTCGAATAGCACTGACTCTGAAACGCACTGACTATTCTGCCTGGTGGTTCATGACCAAATCTCCCTATTCCACCCATACGGAAGGCCTGTGTCCCAACAGTGGGAACATTAATAGGCTGATGATGATGAATATTTGATAAATAAATACTTGTGATAACTCTTAACCCAGATCGTGAGCCAGGAGGAGCAACTGCAGGCGATGCATGCGCAAGAGGCAGCAGTTCAGAAGGCCGCCAAGGAGTCAGAGCGGCGGAAGCGCATGCTCAAGGAGAAGTTGCAGCCGCAGCCGGGCGCCGAGACCGCCACCGGCACCGCCGACCCCGAGCTGGAGGGGCCGGACCAGGCTGCTCACACCATGTCAAGATCTGAGAGTGAGTTGATTCAAAAACTTCAAGAAAATGGGGCCACCGTCCAGAAGCTCTCCACCGGCACCGCCAACCCCGAGCTGAGGGGACCCGAAAAGGCTGCTCATAAGTACCATGTATGTCAAGATCGGAGTGTAAGTTGATTTATAAATCTGGAGAAAATGAGACCGTTTTACAGAAAGCCGCCACCGGTACCGCCGACCCCGAGCTGGAGGGACCCGACCAGGTTACTCATCATCATCATCATCAGCCTATTAATGTCCCCACTGCTGGGGTACAGGCCTTCCCTATGAATGGAATAGGGACTTTGGGCCATGACCCACCACGCGGGCCTAGTGCGGATTGGTGGGTGCTAACGACTGCAGATGCAGCCGGGACCAACGGCTTAACGTGCCTTCCGAAGCACGGAGGAGCTCGAGAGAGTAAATTTTTGGTCACCCATCCAATGACCGACCACTGCGAAAGGTGCTTAACTTCAACAATCGCAGCTGAACGCACGAACCACTTGCGCCATCGAGCTCCTCTCACACCATGTCAAGATCTGAGAGTGAGTTAATTCATAAATCTGAAGAAAATGAGACTGTAGTACAGAAGGCCACCAATGACACCGCCGCTGTCAGCACCGTCGCCACCAGCACCGCCGACCCCGGGCTAAAGCGGCCCGACCGGGGCCAATCGACTTACGGGATTGCTCAGGCCGCTCACATCATATCAAGATCTGAGAGTTTGTTGATTTATAAATATAAAGAAAATGAGGCCGCTGTCCTGAGCTGGAGGGGTCACACCAAGCTTCTCACACCATGTCCAGATCTGTGAGTGAGTTCATAAATCTTAAGAAAAATTGCCATGCGATCCAGGTAGCAGAAGGATTCGAACCAGCGCTTATCCGAGCAGATGGACTTACCGTTCTATACTAGCGAGACCCTAATGGCCGTGTAGATTGATAAATATAAAATTTTACTTTACCGCTTAAAAATCATATGCTATCACTTCACATGGCTGTTCGTATTTAGTAATTGTTAAGACAGCAGTATCTCCTATAACATCCCCTATTGAATGTGATCAGGATATTTTTCTAGCAAAAATACGAATAGCCATGCCGAGTGCTGGAATTACCTAAGACTGTTCTGGAGCTGTGATTTGTAGTGCAGTGACTGACTTACGGAGTGACGAAATGGACAATTACCCATCGCCCGCTACATTTCGAGCCTTCGGCAGTCGGCACATACCAGTTGCAAAATCATACGGTATACGCCAGTCCACCCGTATTATGGAATGCGCAAGTTTGAATCTATCCTGGACAGAGTAAATTTTGAATTCGAAAATAAATATTTATTTTTCGAATACAAAAATATTTTTGTTTATTCAGTGCTCCGCGCAAACAAAATACTGGGTTCTAGTCTGTGCAACCTAGGGGCTTTAAAGTTATCACTTCAGTTAAAGATTTTGTGTCCCAGCCAACGATATTAAATACCCTAGATACACCACGAGCGCTCAAAATGTGTCCCAATCAAGAAGTGCTTGAACTCATCTCAAGCACTTCTTGGTTCACAGTCACACGCGGACCGTCGAAAAGTCAAGATGCCGCAGACAGAGCTCCGTGAAATATTGCGAAATAGATACTTATAGTACGTAAACCGTCGTTTTGTCAACAGATATCTAATCAGTGTTTGTTAATTTAACATTTGAAGCAAATTTTGTTCTAATATTTACTGTAAATTGATTAATTATAAAATATTTGTGATATTCAAATGTGTGTTCGGTTATACGTCGCCGTATAGCTCGTATAGCCGTCTCTTTTTCTCGCGGTCCGTACCCGCTGTATTGCTAACAGCGCATTTAGAATTGCGCGTAGTAGCAAAAGAAATAAGGTCTATATTCTTCCGCATATAGCAATAAGTCGTAATTTTTTGCGTACTTCCATTTCGAACTGTTATAAGTCTTTGATGCATGCGTTTCAATTAAGACCTTATACAGTACGCGTTAAAGGTGACTTTCAATGTTTAAATAATGCCTTATTTTGTTTTTGACTACGCAATCTTCTTACGGTGCTCCGCGAATCGTCCAATGTACCTATTGGACAGGTTTCGGCCACGATTTTGTTCGTGTTGGTGTATCTAGGGTATTTAATATCGTTGGTCCCAGCTTTATAAATGGCTGTTTACAGTGCTCCGCGCGGACAACATGCAAGGTCCTCGCTTGTGCAATCGCATCATCCTTGCGTCCAAGTGCCACGCCATACGCGACGCTCAGATCGCAGAGAAGGAGCTCATCAAGAAGGAACTGGACGAGGAACAGCGACGGTTAGTTTACTATAATCATCATCATTAATATATAGCCTATTTATGAACTTACTGCTGGGCATTGGAAATCTTCACGAAATAATAGTAACCCCGCGCATTAGCGCTGCGGCAATTTTTTTTGTTCTCGGGCATCATGTATAAAAATTAAATGAGCATTATTTCATAATACTGCCTCCCTGATTAACGAGCATTCATTCATAATGTAACATTTTCGATTAGATTTTGAGCGAGCGAGCCATGACAGGTTGCACACTGGCTCCTTTCTCCTCCCTAGGCCCTGCCAGAATTATCAGCACTGTAGCAGCCCTGGTGTTGCTGTAGTATTAAGCTGAGGCAGGGATCTAGTTGGCCTGTCTTGTTGCTGTGTTCAGCTTGCTTAGATGCCAGTACATAACAGACAAATGCTTCCGGTGAGAGAGCACCTTTATGCATATATACCTTCATCTTGAATCACTCTATCTTGTGCTAAAAGCTGCATTAAAATTGTTCCGTAGTTTAAAAAGTCTAAGCGTACAGATATCATGAGTGATTTTGGTTTATACTCTGCATAAAGTTTTGTTTGTTACCATAATGTCGCTGTCTAAGATAGTTGTTATTGTGTCAGGCTGGACGCCATCATGGAAGAGAACCGCCACGCGGCGGTGGCACGCGCCGAGGCGGAGGAGGAGCGCCGTCACCAACTCCGCCTGCAGAATCTGGCCGCGCTCAAGGAACAGATCACCGCGCACGAGACTGCTAAGGTATATAGAGGTTTTTTTTGGTACCCGATTGCTTGTTATAAGCAAAACACAAAACACTAAGAGATATAATAGCCCTGGCACCTGCCGAGGCAGAGACGCATTGATATCACCAACTCCGCCTGCAGAATCTGGCCGCGCTCTAGGAGCAGATTACTGCGCATGAGACTGCTAAAGTCTGTATGCGATCACACGTCGTGATCGAGATATAATGGCCCTGGGACCTGCCGAGGCAGAGGAGGAATCTAGCCGCGCTCAAGGAACAGATCACAGCGCAGGAGGCCACTAAGATATGAATGCGGTGACTAGAATGACCCTGGGCCTAGCTACGTGGTAAAGTACACTGGACAGTAACACTTAACAAGAAATTTATAAGGTTTACGATTACGACGAGATATGATGGCCCTGGTAGGAATCGGCCGATTCGAAGGAGGAGCGGCCGTGTCGAATTTCTTCTACGTAGTATTATTTTACAGCAAGGCAGCGTTGTAGTTTACCTGAAATGCTAAGAGATGACGCTGCAGTTTACTATTATTTCGTTTGTGATAATCAGATCATGGAGGCTGAGCGCATCGAAGAGGAGAGCATCCGCGTGAACCAGGCCAACATCGCCATGCAGATCGACGAAGCTCAGAAGCTGAAGGAGAAGCACGCGCGCCAGGCCAAGCTCAAGGAGATACTTGACCAGGGTATGTGGTTTACAAAGCCCAACGACTTTACTTGATGTCAAGTGTGAATAGCGTCTACATCTGCTGAATTGGAAACTTATTGGCACACATTAGCTCACCCTTGCGTGTGCGCATACAGTAACCAACGCTGCAAAATCAGCATTGTAAGTACAGCAAAATATTAAGATAATGAAGACAGTCTCCTTGCGCGCCAGTCCCAGGCGCTCGACATATCGCACCTTTATTCCAATACTGTCATTATCATAAAAAGCAAATTATGCAGCAGAGCAGCAAATGTGTAGATTCATAACGTAGCAAATAGATGGCGTTGAAAACTATTATTTGAAGAATTTTGTTTAATGACAGTATTGGAATAAAGGTGCGATATATTTGCTTCCTTATTTATTTACTAACAGTGACATTTACCTCTCGTTTACTTAAGAGTCAGGAGTAGCAAATTAGGCCCGATAATAAACTGCCGGTAATGTAAGTTCATAAAAGTATAAAAAAAGGTAAAAACCTTATTTAAAAATGAGAAAAGTTCGATGACTCCGATTACGGAGTCGCTTATTAAAGCGAGTTTGATCTGCGACCCTCAAGTCAACTTAAGTCGTGTTACTTCCACGTATGGTAGAGCGGGGCAGGATGAGAATTCTATTCTATTATTTTTATATATGTTTGTAGGCAACGCGGAGCTGCTCTACTACAAGCAGCTACAGATGGAAGAGGATCGCATCACTGACGCCCGCATCGCGAGCTTCCTGCGGCGCCGCGCGGAGAGAGAGGCGCGCGCTAAACAACAGGCTGCTGCCTTACAAGCCGCTAAACAGAAGGGGATCGACCACATAGCCAGCGCACAGAAGGTGATCATTATATAGATAGATACAGATAGAGGAGGATCGCCTACAAGCTGCCAAACAGAATGGGATTGGCCACATTGCCTGCATGGAGAAGGTGATCATTATATAGGTAAATACAGATGTAGGAGGATCGCCTACAAGCCGCCAAACAGAAGGGGATCGACCACATAGCCAGCGCGCAGAAGGTGATCATTATATAGATAGATACAGATGGAGGAGGATCGCCTACAAGCTGCCAAACAGAATGGGATTGGCCACATTGCCTGCACGGAGAAGGTGATCATTATATAGGTAGATACAGATGTAGGAGGATCGCCTACAAGCCGCCAAACAGAAGGGGATCGACCACATAGCCAGCGCGCAGAAGGTGATCATTATATAGATAGATACAGATGGAGGAGGATCGCCTACAAGCTGCCAAACAGAATGGGATTGGCCACATTGCCTGCACGGAGAAGGTGGTCATTATATAGGTAGATACAGATGGAGGAGGATCGTCTACAAGCCGCCAAACAGAAGGGGATCGACCACATAGCCAGCGCGCAGAAGGTAAGCATTATATAGGTAGATACAGATGGAGGAGGATCGCCTTCAAACCGCCAAGCAGAAGGGCATCGATCACGTAGCCAGCACGCAGAAGGTCATCTTTATATAGGTAGATACAGATGGAGGAGGATCGCCTACAAGCCGCCAACCAGAAGGGCATCGACTACATAGCCAGCGCGCAGAAGGTGATCATTATATACGTAGATACAGATGGAGGAGGACCGCCTACAAGCCGCCAAGCAGAAGGGGATCGACCACATACCCAACGTGCAGAAGTTGATCATTATATTGTTAGATACAGATGGAGGAGGATCGCCTACAAGCCGCCAAACAGAAGGTCATCGACCACATAGCCAGCCTGCAGAAGTTGATCATTATATTGGTAGATACAGATGGAGGAGGATCGCCTACAAGCCGCCAAGCAAAAGGGGATCGACCACATACCCAGCGTGCAGAAGTTGATCATTATATTGGTAGATACAGATGGAGGAGGATCGCCTACAAGCCGCCAAGCAAAAGGGGATCGACCACATACCCAGCGTGCAGAAGTTGATCATTATATTGGTAGATACAGATGGAGGAGGATCGCCTACAAGCCGCCAAGCAAAAGGGGATCGACCACATACCCAGCGTGCAGAAGTTGATCATTATATTGGTAGATACAGATGAAGGAGGATCGCCTACAAGCCGCCAAGCACAAGGGGATCGACCACATACCCAGCGTGCAGAAGTTGATCATTATATTGGTAGATACAGATGAAGGAGGATCGCCTACAAGCCGCCAAGCAAAAGGGGATCGACCACATACCCAGCGTGCAGAAGTTGATCATTATATTGGTAGATACAGATGTAGGAGGATCGCCTACAAGCCGCCAAGCAAAAGGGGATCGACCACATACCCAGCGTGCAGAAGTTGATCATTATATTGGTAGATACAGATGGAGGAGGATCGCCTACAAGCCGCCAAGCAAAAGGGGATCGCCCACATCGACAGCGCGCAGAGGGTATAGGCATGCGTCCGATATATCAAAACGAATCCAAAATCCGATTTCAAACACAAATCGATACCGAACGATTTCTCAACAAGAAAATCCGATTTCAGAAATCTAACCAAAACAAAACGCTAGCGATCTAATACCACCACAAGTATCCAAATGTAAATCGGATTCGAAATTCGTGCTTTCGTTTTCGGAAGTCAGATTTCGTGCTCGGAAGTCCGATTTCGGTTTGCTGTTTACGGAAATCTATTGTTCTTCTCTAAGGCGGGATTATTTATTACTGAAAAAAGATGTCTAAAAACATCAAAAGTCGAGCAACTGACATTTTTTTGAACGCTAACCTGAAGTAATTAGGTTTGATTTTGTAAATGGTTTGAAAAATAATAAAAACAAACAGAAAAACCAAAAAAATTACTAAAAAAATATGTAAAAAGAAATCATTTAACATAAGCCGATTTTTAAATGCGCCGCAAAAGTTTTACTCTTAACGGTAAAGATACCTTTTCTGCTAGTCCTAAGCCACAGAATATATACTCTTGCCTAAGCCTAGATTTAAAGCATAAAGGAAAATCGCGCAAATCTACGAGTATCCTTGCTTCGTACAATTAATTGTTTGTGATTGTCGTTAGCTAATAAAACCAAATCATATCACAAACTAGTGAATTGGCTTAGTTCGGCACATCTGAAATCGGATATCTAAAAACGGATTTTAAAATCGATTTTGAAATCTGAAATCCGATAAATATCCGTTTGCGTTCAAAACCAAAAACGCCCATGTCTATACCAAACTGCTAGTAATTGTATAAGTAATAGGTAAGTTTGGTATACCCGCAGAGCAAATACAGAGAATAGGCGGAGGAATCTTTGTATACGAGTCGAGTTTATTATAAAAAATCAAATAAAGCCACTGCTAGGGATTATTACAGAACGTCAACAACGCCATTATCAACACCAACAGTGAGTTGGGAAACTGAGAGGAAGTTGTTTAGTAGTAGTTTCCAATATATATTCCGCGCGCGCGGTAACTACCAGGGCCGCTGGGATGCAAGCCACTAAGCAGAAGGGGATGGACCACATCGCCAGCGTACAAAAGGTTATCGCAGATACTTTTTATCCTGGAAAAATATCAGGTTCTTTTGGGATTCCAAGAAATCTAACTATAACGCAGACGAAATCGCGAGGGGAAGCTAGTAATAAAGTAGAAAAGTGTCCAATAAGCAGATAAGGATGGACCACATCGCAAGCACGCAGAAGGTACATAACTATAGTTTATAGGCAAAACGGGTAAATAAGGTATACCCACAGAGCAAATACAAAAAGGAGGCCGGGGGTGTATCGTATAAGAGTTTACTAAGAAGCCACTGAGAAGGGATGCTGGAAGAAGCATTACGGAATATTAACAGTGCCATTATCAACACTAGCAGTGAATAGGGAAACTAAAAAAAAGTTATTCCAACAGATTTCCGGGAAGAGACCACTGCGCTACACGAGAAGGGCATCGACCACATGCCCAGAAGTTATGAGACGCGGAAAACTTCTTGAACAAAACCACAGTCAAATGAACTAATTATTCTATTTATTTATTTTTATTACCAGTTTCAAAGAAATTATAACAGTATTGTAACAATATTGCACAGTAGGCATTTTTGAAAAATTAATTGCTTATGCCTATACTTCAAACGCACACAGAGGGCAAAAAGACCGCGCCTTGGGTGCCCGGCGGGCAGTGGCGGCGCGGCATGTCCGCGGCTGCCCGCCGTGGATCATACAAACCAGTTTATATGCAGTAACGCAGACGGCGGCGCGGGGCGGTCAGCTCAGTCCGCGCCGCGCGCTTATTAGTGATGGACTATTCACTAGAACGAACGTCCTGAACTGACCGCCTCTGCCCGTCGTGTGCTTTGTGTACGCGGCGCGGGCAGCCGCAAACATCGCCGGGCAGCCGCGGTCTTTATTGCTTCGCGGACAAAATGCCCGCCCCGCCCCGTCGTCTGCTAAACGTCTCATAGTACTGCTTTATTCCATTCTTCTCTTTTATTGTCTTCTCCTTCTCTCTTTACCCTATCATCATATAATGAGTTGGGTATCTGATTTATTTATTTCAACTCAGGCAGAACAAGAGTTAAAGGAAGAGTTGGAGAGGATACGCAACCTGAAGATCCAGGAGGACGTCGAGAGAGATTACCGGCGGAAAGAGCGAGACGCAGCTATCAGGAGAAACAAGGAGATAAAACAACTGCATGAAGGGAGAGTACAGCAGGTACGAAAATCTTCCCGATAGGAACTTTTCTCATCGAGTGCCAGGGATATATAGGTAAGACGCGGAAGAATCCCTAAACGGGGATCCCGCGGCTTAGCGCGTAAGCAGCTTAGAAGGTATTCGCAGGACTTTTTTAGCGGATATTATGCCGTAAAGCGCCCGTAAGAGTTGCGGGGTCCTCGGTGGACAGCCACTGGGGGGTCCGTAAGACTTGCGGGTGCCAGGTGTGAGGTCCGTTCGGCGGTGTGCCTCTTAAAGGCGCCGTCGTCTGTAAATAGCATTTTTTACCTGCGTTATAAAAAAAGGGATATATAGGTCACTAGCTGTGCCCTGCGGTGTTACCCGCGGCTTATTAGAGATATTTTCCCGCAGTACGACGTAGCCTACGTGTTGAACCAGGATATCATGTAATTCCATACCAAATTTTATTAAAATTGCTCTAGCCTATTTGTTGTTATTTAAGTAAGTTGTAATTTCATTTATTTGAAGTCGCTTCTTTTGGCGTCGGTCTCCCCCAGTTCCCTTCAGTTTTTTCTATCTCTAGCCTTTGTTCTCCAGTCTGGTCAAGCTCTTTGTTTGAATGTGTCCTCCAGTCGTTTTTTCGGTCTTCCTCTACTTCTTTGTCCTTCTCTTGGTTTCCATTCAGTGACCTTACAAGTCCACCTACAATTATAATTATAATCGTATGTAAAATGACACACGTGGCCAGCCCATTTTCATTTTAAGCTTCTAGTTCTTTCTATTACGTCAGTTAACTTTTGTTTTCTTCTTTTACCTACTTCATTTTTATTTTAGTCGATTACCGAACGCCCAGCATACTTATTTTTTTTAGTTTATCTTCTGTTATTTCATATTTTATTTACATTGGAATTGTACATATCTACCAAGTTGTACCACAGTTTGTCAGCAGTAGTTCTTGTGGATTTACATCACAACTTAAATACCTATTATGATTAAAAATAATAAATATACGTATTTTAATTTTATAATAACAAAAAATTGTTGGAATGAAGCAATCTGTGCTATCAGCTGCTCCGCTACCATATACCTTATTTTTGCGAGACCTCGAAATTTCTGCACTTTGCAATTGCCATCAACCCGTAGCAATACCCCAACAACAAAAAATATTACAATGTTAATGACCATGAAAGGTTTCACTGAAGATTAACGCTAAAAGATAAATGGAATAAGTACCTATGTCTTGTAATTACTGCTAGTTTGACATTAGCATTTGCAAGGATTTGATTTGATTTTATTTTTCATTATATTTTTCTTTGATGCATAGCTAATCGGTTTTCTGACCACCTGTTTAGGAAGCATTGAATTCAATCATTCTTCGTCGCTTTATTTTTCGTCTACAGATAAACGACATCCATCGTCTGATCGCGCGAGAGATAGCCAAGGACGAGCAGAGCTTCAACAACGTTGCCCGCCAGAACGAGGAGTTCATACAGAAGGAAAAAGCGGTAAGGGTTACTTACTGCTGCATCATCATCAGAGCCTGGTAATGTCCCTACTGCTGGGGCACAGGCATCCATAGCGACATAATGGTACAATTTAAATGATTCTGCCATTTTTTGCGGGAGGGAATATGCACACAAATATCCGGCTCGAAGGACCATGTTCAAGCCAAAATGACTCTTAAAATCCGAGAGCTTAGGTGCAAAAGAATTAAATGAAACTAAGGTGGATTTTGTTTGACCATAGATTTCTTTATTAGTTTGGTGACGTTTTGCATATATTTAGCTCCAAACATATTTGCAAGCGTGATGCAAAGAACTACAGTGCCATCTATTTTGACACATAAGAACTACAATTATTACATGCACAAATGGCGTATACAACCGTCTAACTTAGGTACTGCGGAGTTCTACCGTGAAGGGATAGAACCTGGGGGTGTAACGTTATAAATGAAAACTAGATATTTAACTCTTTTATTTATCTGGCGAATGTAATATGTGAATTTTATCTACCTACGAGAGGTTTGGTGCCCTAAGTCCATATGATGTGGAACCTTCTATCAAAAGACCGATGATTCCTTATTTCAAATATTAAAATCATGACATTAACTTTTTAATATAAATGCCAGCCGTAGGCATTGCATGAACAAAGAGTTTACCCAAACAAGGAGGCTGTAACGTAACGGACGTACAGTACCTACATACGTAAAAAACAAAACTGTAATTAGGAGATTCATACATAAACAATGACACGATATGTGGGAAGGCCAATTGGGAAGATCTTCCTCCGAGCTGGATGATGGTAGCTCGGGGGCTGCAGCCCGACTGATGTTGGTCGGGCATTGTATATATGGAGTGTTAGCATCCGAATTTCACTTGCACGATGTAGGTTACCATACGTATTAATCGCAACGTCGGCAGCGCCATCTCTAGAGGAGGCGAGTGATGATTTCCTCCATCCGTTGGATATATGTGGGGTATATAGATGTCGCCGCCACACAATAAACCGGCGAAGCCTGCAAACATGATTGTATTGTTCGTTTCTATGCCGAATTCAAAAGAGGGGAAATCTGTCTATGCCTACTCCCCTCCTTAGCAGCGTCGGCCATGTTACTCTATGGGCACAGTCCTTCTCCCTATCGATGGAATTCGGAGAAGAGGCCATGATCCTTTGGTTTGGTGATTGCTAACGACTGCAGATGCAGCCGGGACCAACGGCTTTACATGCCTTCCGAAGCATTGAGGAGCTAAACATAGTAATGTTTTGTTCACCCATCCATTGGCCATTGTGAAGGATCCCAAAATAGGATTCTGTTTAAAACTAAGGAAAATTTTACTAGAGAAAAAACCCCTCAGTCTAGTTTTCAGACGAGATTCGAACCAGCATGTTCCGTTATCAGCAGCATAGCTAAGGAATACTAGAGGAAAGTCGGCACAGCCATTTAGGTCGTGGCCGCATAAGTGGTTAGTGTGTCCGCCCGGATAGCGGAAGATGCATATTCGATTCCAGTCCAAAATCTAGATCGAGTGGAATATTTTCTAGTAAAATTTTCTTTAGATTTAAACATCTAGCAGTTAAATGCTTACAATGTACAGATTATATTCAGTTAGTAATTTACGTGTTGCAGTTGGAGGAAAAACGTAAGGCGCGCGTGGAGCGACATCGCCAGGAGATTATGAAACAGATCAATGACAAGGAGCGCGCTAGGTGAATGCCATCACAAATACTAATTTCATCATCATCATCATCAGCCTATTAATGTCCCCACTGCTGGGGCACAGGCCTTCCCTATGGATGGAATAGGGAGATTGGGCCATGACCCACCACGCGGGCCCAGTGCGGATTGGTGGGTGCTAACGACTACAGATGCAGCCGGGAGTAACGGCTTAACGTGCCTTCCGAAGCACGGAGGAGCTCGAGATAGTAAATTTTTGGTCATCCATCCAATGACCGACAACTGCGAAAGTTGCTTAACTTCAACGATCGCAGCTGAACGCGCTAACCACTTACGCCATCGAGCTTATCAAATATACTAATACTAATTTACTAAAGAATTATAATTTCATTTTTTAAGTAGGTATGCTAGAAAAAATTCCTCGCGTACCAGACAGCAGACGGGACTCGAACGCCAAACCTTCGCCATACGGGCGAATGCACTGACCAATTACGCAACCGCGGCCCTGATAGCCGTGTCGAAATAGCGAAGGGTACGAGTTCGAGTCCCGTCTGCTGCTTGGTCCGCCTGGAATTTATTCTAGGTATATTTTCTTTACAAAGCGATGTTAATTCGCTTTCACGCATAAAAACCAATTAATCGAATATACCAAAGTGTAGAGTATGAGTTACCTCATATTGAAGTCATTTTTCAATTTGACGACTCTGTATACAATACAGGTAGAAAAAAACAGCCCTTGCTGAGTTTCTTGCCGGTTCTTCTCAGTACAAGGTCTCCCGCCGTAGATTTGCGAACCGATGGCGTAGCTTTTCGACATTCACAAGTGCTTGTAACAGCCTAGACTGAATAAACGATTGATTTTTTGTTTTTTTTTTAGATACAGACAGATAGGACCCTTTTTGACGTGAAGATAAAACTTGTTGTGGGGAGGTTAAAATGTATGTGATGAGAGGGAAATCTGAATATATCTCTATCCCCATGCGAATAAAGAAATTTGGTGACTCATTTCTTCGTCGCATTATTCGCCAATGGAACGCTTTGCCAGTTCGCGGGAACACGCGAGTCTATTATAACCAGAGTTTCTTTAAGAGGCGTGAAGAAGAAATTGTGAAGGTAGAACTGCTGTACCAGCTAACTTCGCGTCTGGACTCCACCGTCACTTAACATCAGGTGGGGCGGAGTCATCCGTCGGAGCTACTTATAAAAAAACTAGCTGACCCAGCGAACTTCGTACCGCCATAAAAAAATAGGGGTTGGTGGTAGAGGGGTGAAAATTTAGGGTTGTATGTATTTTTGAATGCTGTATCATAAAAAAATTAAAAAAAAAATTGTATCTAAAATTGAAAAAAAAAATTAGGGTTGGATTACCCTTAACATTTAGGGGGATGAAAAATAGATTACATCCGATTCTCAGACCTACTGAATATGCATATAAAATTTCACGAAAATCGGTTGAGCCGTTTCGGAGGAGTTTAACCACAAACACCGCGACACGAGCATTTTATATATAAGATAAAATATGTTTGTTGATCAGGGCTGAGCTTCGCGAGAAGATCCACAACGAGGGAGTGGCGCTGCGCATGGAACAAGAGCAGCAGGACAAGTACGAGCGGAAGGTCATCAAGGAGAAGGTAAGTGTTTTTTTTTAATAACTATAGCTTGACCAGTGTTGCCAAGTGCATCATCATAGTCTTCATTCGATTGAGCTGAAAATTTGTACACACGTTTTTTCTTAATGAAATAAGGAGATTGGACCACGGCTCGCCATGCGGGCTCAGCGTGGTTTGGTGCGTGATAGGCAGAGGCGGCGTAAGGAGTGGGCGACGTGGGCCAACGCCTACGGCCTCTCCGTTCAAGGGGCCTCGCGCCTGAAAAATTTTTATGCATTGCTTAAAAAATTTCTTTTTTTTTATTATTTTATAAAAAACCGTCTTCAGGTCGCCACAGAACAGGGCTTCGCGAAATCTGTCTTGCCTACATCAAATTTAGGTCTTGCCCCGCCACTGGTGATAGGTATATAAATATTGTTCTGCTTTGGTTACTTCGTATCTTCCTATGTAGGCATACTTCCAACACGCATTTTTTTTTATCCAACTATATTTCTTTAAGGTTCTCTGTTCACTCCACAGAACACAGAAAGTGGTTAGAAGCGTGATCAGACACCGTTTGTACGGGAACCAATGACGTCGGCTCGCCCCCACCACACTTCCACCTCATAGATAATAGGCAATAAAACAACGCGACATCAAACAATCGAACCAATCACCGCTCACACCGGAGAGCAACGACGCAATCAGAATCAAGTTTTGGTCAAGTAATGAGCATTCGCTCACACATAACTATGGCGCGCCTGCACCGCGATATGTGATTCTGTGGTTCTCTCTAACCATATTGCTTTTATCTCGTGTTTAATGAAGTCTAAAATGTTTAACTAATTTCTAATGTTTCACTCTTATTTGTTCACAGGTGGCGGCGATGAGACAACAGAAGGTCGCCGAGAAATACGTCAAAGAAGTGGAACAGACTCTCGGCAAGAACGGATACCAATGACTGCCTTCAACAATCTATATTGCTATATTGCTAAGCTATTTGAGTAAACAATCTCTAATGCGCTGTAAAGATGATTGAGATAAGACTGAAATTGGCACACGCGTCTTTTGGTTTCATTGGACAGGTTTTATTCGGTAATAGCTCTGATTTATTTAAGGCTGGGCGCCTATATATGTACGATTTCCTGATCAGGAATTTAATTTTTATTTTATTTAGGATAACAAATATTGTATGTAATGTAGTAACACTATTAAATATATTAATGTCATTACACAAACAACACCGTTATTCACTAAAAATACATCTCTACACAGAGATTTTAATAATATAAAACATGATAATCGTCAGTTTGTAATACTAATTCTACTTGCAAATCTATGGTATAATTAAAAAGTTACAAAACACAATTTTTAAAACGCTACGCGGAATTCAAGATTCTAAATTCCGTGAGCCTAGCGCAAACGGTTCGGTTTTTTTGTTAGGTAGTTTCCGAACCGAGAGAAAATAAGAATAGTGTGCGTCTCTTTGAATATTTTGTATGTAAGCAAGTCAAGTCTCAAATTCGCGAATCGGAATTCCTGACCAGGGGCCAATCGCCTAACCGAATTGCTATGGCTATCGCTTACGATTTCACTTCATTCCTAAACGCCTAAGGTTTCCAAATACCTCAAGCTCATTTTCTTTTATATTTTTATTACCAATGAGTGAGAACAAACTGCGTAACTAAATAGAGATTTTTTTAAAACAAAAGTTGCTACTAGGTTGCTACCTTAATATATATCGTTTAGGACCTCCTAGCTTTTAAGGATAAAGAGTTATAATCAATTGAGCGATCAGACATTATTAAAACTGAACGCCTGTAGAATTATACGAGCAAATTCGAAATCAAGTGCATAATGGGTATTGCATAAGCAGGCGCTGCGTAATGGAATTTATTTTAAAAGTTGTCTACTATACATTATGTAATGTATGTTTTTAGTTGTAATAATATAATGAATAATATTATTTTACCGTGCGAAACAAGACAAAATAATGTTAATTTCTGTATTGAGTTATTTTTGTTTGTTTGTAAAAAATATTTCTGACGAGGGTAGGTAAATTTTTACTTTATTATGCAGAACAGTCTACTGTTATTTCTGGTACAATTATCGCATTCAATGTTTGTATTGTTTTATTATAGTAAATTAATAGGTACCAATTGTTGAGGAGCTCGATAGCGCTAGCGCATTTGGCTGCGATTGTTGAAGTTAAGCAACATTCGCAATGGTCGATCATTGGATGGGTGACCGAAAATCTTCTATTTTGAGTTCCTCCGTGCTTCGAAAGGCACGTTAAGCTTTTGGTCCCGGCTGCATCTGCAGTCGTTAGCACCCGCCAATCCGCACTGGGCCCGTGTGGCGGGTCATGGCCCAATCTCCCTATGCCATCCATAGGGAAGGCCTGTGCCCCAGCAGTGGGGACATTAATAGGCTGGTGATGATGATGATGATGATGAATACCAATTGTACGGCACGCCGGGCTGTCGTAGTAGCGAGAAGTTACCGACCCGCACTTATAAGGTGGAGGGTCGAACGGAGGTGTCTTGACGATGGAAGTGGACTGTAGCTGGCGAAATAAAACCTCTCAAGATTCGTTGTCGAAGAAAGTCGGTGTGCGCTGGTAATGGATGGCCGGTAAGAAGTCTTCAAGATCCAGGGAGAACCGGAAATCTCAGTACCAAATAAATCGCACCAGTAAAGTTAGTTTTAAACAATAATCACTATGAATTGATTTCAATTATTGAATTTGATCCACCTGGATTTGGTGAAATGGGCCATTACAAGGCACATTGCAAACGTGGGAATATATGGCAGCGTTACAACGATCTGAATAATAGAATTACAAAATGTAATAAGAAAGTAATGTGCTGTATAATATATTTATAGTGAAGAAACACAACTTCTTTTTATTAAATTATTATTGTTAGTCAATATTTGTTTTATTTATTGCATTAATCACTTTAAATAAGTTTGGGTATTGCATAAGCAGGTAGTGGCGCCTGTTCAAGCAATACCCATTATGCACTTGATTTCGAATTTGCTCGTATAATTCTACAGGCGTTCAGTTTTAATAATGTCTGAACGATCAATTGATTATAACTCTTTATCCTTAAAAGCTAGGAGGTCCTAAATGATATATATTAAGGTAGCAACCTAGTAGCAACTATTGCTTTAAAAACATCTCTATTTAGTTACGCAGTTTGTTCTCACTGGATAGGTGACCAGCCATTTTGACGTCAGAATGGCTGGTCACCCTAAAAAGTAGTTTATTTTGTTTTAATCGGGGGTAGCAACTATTTAACGATTAGTAGCAATTAGAAGCAACTAGGTAGCAACTTTCTTTAATTATTTCGATGTAAAATATGGGTAGTGACCGGCCATTCTGACGCTCACGGTGAATGCACTGACCATTATGCTACCGCGGCACTGATGGCCGTGACGAATTTTCTCTAGAATTTCTTAAACTGCAAGGCAGCGCCATCTCTTCGCATTGTAGGCAACCCACAATATCAAAAGAATACCTTAACAATTATTAAACAATATATTAACTAAACAATCGCTCGGATAGCAAAGGGTGCGGGTTCGAGTCCCGTCTGCAGCCTGGTCCGCGTGTTTTCTTTCTAGTATTCTTTTTTTGATTAAACAGTGTTAATAATAAAACAACCACATCAAAGTCAAAATGGTTTTATTACAATATTTAGTTACATAATTATATTCAGGCACACAGTTGCATTATAATCAGCCATTTCATTAAAAATTGGGTGTTAGTAACATACACACACACACATACAAACTTATGGGCACGTTCACCTTATAAAAATGTCTTTAAATATAAAAAATACTAAGTAAAATTAGTTTTAAGTTTACTTAAGTTACTTAAGTTAAGTTTAAGTGCGACCAAATTTTTTATTTTTATAGATAGGTCCGACAAATGACTCCGCCCCACCTGATGTTAAGTGACGGTGAAGTCCAGACGCGAAGATAGCTGATACAGCAGTTCTACCTGCCACACCAGCCATCCTCACCCTGCCGGCCTGCATGTTGCTTCTTCACGCCTCTTTTAAAGGATCCCAGGTTGTAAGAGGGAGGGAACACGTGAGCGGGCAGAGCATTCCATTTACGGATAGTGCGACAAAGGAATGAGTCACCAAATTTCTTTGTACGCGTTGGAATTGTGGCCACAGTTAGACGGTGACAACGTAAGCCAACGCGCGTGGTCCTCTGAAGGAAAGGGGAAGGTGGAATAAGAGAGAATAACTCCTCAGAACACTTGCTGTGGTACAGACGATAGAACGCGCTTAGTGACGCCACGTCACGGCGTAATGAGGGCTATCGCGTATGAATCCGCCGCTAGAGGCGCTAGTGTAGCGTGAGGTCTCCGAAATGTCAAATGTTATTGCTTGTTGGTTGACTACGCGGGTTTATTTCTAATTAAAATAATGTTGTGAATAATTGGTAACAATTCGGCATAATTATGGCAAATATGAGTTATGTGGCAATGAATGTCAGTTATTAAAAATTTGAGCTTAGAAAAATGATTATGTTCCCATTTTTTCCGAATAAAACGGAACTGCGCGTCACTGTGGCATGGCCTATTATGTTTAGGATATGGTTCTTTTGTGTTAAAATACGATCTAAATGTAACCTTTGATTTCATGTGCGTATTAATAAACTTTAAAAGTTACAATTTAGGACCTCACTCAACAGTGGCGCCATCTGGTGAGACAGAAAACGGTAGCCCTCATTGAAGAGGCCTGTGGATGGAATAGGAAGATTGGACCACGACCCACCACGCGGGCCCAGTGCGGATTGGAGGGTGCTAAGGCCTTCAAATGCAGCCGGGACCAACGGCTTAACGTGCCTTCCGAAGCACGGAGGAGCGAGAGAGTAAATTTTTGGTCACCCATCCAAAAACCGACCACTGTGAAAGTTGCTTAACTTAAACGATCGCAGCAGAGCTCCTCGAACAAATTTTAGGGAGGTATAACTAAAATCCTGTGATTACTATTTTTTTCTCTATCAAATATTATAAGTATTTCTAAGCTGTTATCTCTTAAAATATAGTAGATGGCAAAAATGGAAAAAAATATAGCAAGTCCTCAATATATTGACTTTATATACTTCCACTTATCAACCAATCGGCGCTCACACCCGAGAGCAAGGACGCAATCAGAACCCAAGTTTTGGTCGAGTTATGAGCATTTGCTCACACAACTGTAGCGCGCCTGCCCCGCCCACAAAGCCATTCTAACCTCTTTATGTGTTCTGTGATACATAATCACTAATGTGATGACGGAGTAAACGAAATTCTATTCAGTCCGTCAGATTATCAAAAAATAATGGACGCATAATATATCAAAAGAAAAAAAAAATTTTTTCTTTTGTCGATCAACCGAAAAATCGCAAAGATAAAGTGCGTAGAATTTTGGGAGTGGGGGAGGCTGGTGACGTCATTTCTAAGTGAAAATTTTTCTAAGACGTGATGTCATGCGACATTTCATATCCATTTGCCTCCTGTAAACCTTTGATCATGTGAAACTAGCAAACCAGTGAACCAAATGTTCACCAAAACCTGATTTCTCGAAAACCGGAAGTGCTACGTTACTCAAATCCGGTTTGTAGTCTTATCAGACTATTCTTAACTTATAACTTAAATATTCTCTTTATCTATCTCTTACGGTTTGGCCGCTGAAACAGCACCACAGACAGACGGACGGACTTGTCTAATAGATAAGAGATAAGAAAAAATACGTGTTCAAGGAGCCCGATGGCGCGGGTGGTTAGCTCGTACGGCTGCAATCGTTGAAATTAAGCAAGTTTCACAGTGGTCGGTCATTGGATAGGTGACCAAAAAGCTCCGCCGTGCTTCGGAAGGCGCGTTAAGCCGTTGGTCCTGGCTGCATCTGCAGTCGTTAGCACCCGCCAATCCGTACTGGGCCCGCGTGGTGGGTCATGGCCCAATCTCCCTATTCCATCCATGGGGAAGGCCAGTGCCCCAGCAGTGGGGACATTAATAGGCTAACGATGATGATGAAGATGACGTGTCCAGTACTTTTTGATAATCTCTACCAGATTGGTGAAGAAACAAATCTTTTGTCACCATCCGCAATTCCAACTTTACACATTTGGCACCGAATTACTTAACATCCAATAGGGATGATGACAATTTTTGTTTTCTTCGTTTATCAGGTAGATTAACAAAAAGTATTGGACACGTATTTTTTCTTTTTTCACATAATATAAACATTGCAGAGATATATTGATTTGAAAAGTCGCATGACGTCACGTTTGAGTACACTTATAAGTGAAAATTCACTCAAGAGTGACGTCACGAGCCCCTACTTCCAAACTCTGACGCGCTATAACTTTGTCATTTTTTGGTTGATTGCCCAAAGAAAAAATACGTGTCCATTATTTTTTGATCATCTAACTGACGGACTAAATAGAATTTCGTTTACTGTACCCTGTCATCACCCCTAATTTTTAAGTGAAAATAAAAAACAAACTATGACGAATCACGTCTTGATCTGCTTCTCCCCTAGTGTGACCACTTTGTCGAGGTTCTCTTTGAGAGTTTTCAACTGTTCGAGAACATTCGAGCCCATCAACGAGAACGGAATGTAGGCTTGAGATTGTCGCAGCTGCTTCGGTTGTAGAGACAGCATGGTGCCGTCCTGTAGCATGATGTTGCAATTAGCCTTTTCTTCTGGCTGCATACTGTTGAAGAAAAGGTGCACTTATTAAACCTATTAATATAACTATGATTTTATTTATTTTTTAAGCATTTAACTGCTACATGTTTAAATCTAAAGAAAAGTTTACAAGAAAAAAAATCCACGCGGACCAGGCAGCGGACGGGACTCGAACCCGCATCCTTCGCTATCCGGGCGAATGCACTGACCATTATGCTACCACGGCCCTATTAGCCGCGTCGAAATTTTCCTAGCCTTAAGCTGCAAGGCAGCGCCATCTCTTCGCATTGTAGATAACCCACAATGTCAAATGAATACTTTTTCAAGTATTAAACATTTGAAAGAAGAAATAGCAATTATAGCTATGATTTTATTTATTTTTTAAGCATTTAACTCCTAGATGTTTAAATCTAAGCTTAAGGCTAGGAAAATTTCGACATAATGGTCAGTGCATTCGCCCGGATAGCGAAGGATGCGGGTTCGAGTCCCGTCCGCTGCCTGGTCCGCGTGATTTTTTTTCTAGTAAACTTTTCTATTAATATAATTTTAACTAGCGGCCCCGCCCGCGACTTCGTCCGCGTTAACTTTGTTTTTTTTTTCTAAATTAAAAGATTTTTTCTCAATCTCAATTCGTACGTACACCGCCAGAAGAATATTGTGGCTAAGGCGGTAGAACAAAAAAAACTTCGGGCTGCGACATCGTTCGCCGTCGCCGCGTCTCGGCAATGAGGGCTATCGCGTATGAATCCGCCGCTAGAGGCGCTAGTGTAGCGTGAGGTCTCCGAAATGTGAAATGTTATTGCTTGTTGGTTGACTACGCGGGTTTATTTCTTATTAAAATAATGTTGTGAACAATTGGTAACAATTCGGCTTAATTATGGCAAATATGAGTTATGTGACAATGAATTAAAAGTGGCAGTGGTTATTAAAAATTTGAGCTTAGAAAAATGATTTTGTTCCCATTTTTTCCGAATAAAACGGAACTGGGCGTCACTGTGGCATGGCCTATTATGTTTAGGATATGGTTCTTTTGTGTTAAAATACGATCTAAATGTAACCTTTGATTTCATGTGCGTATTAATAAACTTTAAAAGTTACAATTTAGGACCTCACTCAACAGTGGCGCCATCTGGTGAGACAGAAAACGGTAGCCCTCATTATCACAGAGCTTTTAACCGATAAGGAAGAATTTTATATATTACTAGCTGACCCAGCGAACTTCGTACCGCCATAAAAAAATAGGGGTTGGTGGTAGAAAGTTGAAAATTTAGGGTTGTATGTATTTTTGTATGATGTATCTAAAAAAATTATCTAAAATTGAAAAAAAAAATTAGGGGGATGAAAAATAGATGTTGTCCGATTCTCAGAGCTACCCAATATGCACACAAAATTTCATGAGAATCGGGAAAGCTGTTTCGGAGTAGTTTAACCACAAACACCGCGACACGAGAATTTTATATATTATATATAGATTTACGTGATTTATAATGTTATTTTTCGTTTGTACGTTGTTCTTGTCAGACATTCAAATGTTCGCCTTCTATTTGTGTTGTGGTGTATTGTGACTGTTTTGAGCAACTCGGGAATAAACTGTATGTGAGTACCATATTAACTGTGTTCCTGATATCTTGGTCACCCATCCAAACCACCACAACTGGAATACGGACTGGAAGAAGGTGTTAGAGTGAACAAAAGGACATGGCTAAGAAACTGCCCTTAACGTGTATAAATATTTCGCACTAGCCCGTAACTTTACAATATTTTTTTATTAATTATTACGTGTTTATTATTCTCATACAACTTTCGTGAAGTAATCAAATATTTAAAAGTATAAAAATTGACTTCCATGTCTGTTTCAAAAGCAAAATGTTCCGTTTTACAAAATAAATGAACAATAAATTTACACAAAATATATATCTGTGTAAGTTTAACGAAAGAAACAATATTATTTCTAAACTCCTTCAAACTATGACATATTTGGCCCTATTTTTTGTTACAACAAATCACGGAAGGCCTAAATAATAGATTTTAGGCTTGAGACAAGGCTGTATGATAATTAATCCTTTAATTTTTGCAAATGGACAAAATAAAACTTCACAGATTACCTGTCAGGCCGACGTTAACAAATTATTTGTATTTATTTTTGCTTTAAAAAAACTTTGTTTGAAGAGTTATACAGAGAAATGGGAAGAAAGATTCTAAGTAAATGCGAAATTTACCACTCTGTAAATAATTGTCAACATCTTTTATCAACTTTAGTAAGGTAATGACATAGTAGGAATTCTCATAATTTTCAAGATTGTGACTTTATCAAAAGTTCCTGAGCCTTTTTTCATAGAAATTATAAATACTTAGCTTTTTACCATTAACTATTACTAAGTACAATTTATACATTGCCAGGGCAGTCGCTCATACAAAACTTTACCATGTCCTTTCTCTTTTCATTTAAAAGAATTCCATTGGCACAATTCGGGCTTACGAATAAGTGTAATCGCGCCATTACTCAATCTGGGTATAAAAACTGAGAGCCATTCGCCTAACGGGATTGCTTTGGAAAACGCTATCGCTTACGATTTAATTTTGTTATTTCTGACCGCCGAAGGTTTTCAAATACCTCACGCTCATTTTCTTTAATAGTGTTATTAACAATGCAAAGGAAAGAAAAACGTGCGCGAGGCATTTGAAAACCTCAGGCGGCTAGAAATAACAAAATGAAATCGTAAGCGATAGCGTTTTCCAAAGCAATGCAGTTAGGCGAATGGCCGCCTGGCTTGGCAATAGCAACTGCAAAAAAAGGGTCAATTTGAATTCAATATTTGTCTAAATCTCTCAATCTAATATAATAGTTCATACGAGGCAATTTAAATCGATCAACTTTCATTGTTCAATTGCTTTTCTTCAACTAAATTGTTCAAACACTTGCCAAAATAGTCTTACGTAATAAATTAATGACGCCTAGGAAAAAGGTGTTAGTATAAACTTACTATAAATCTAAAGAAAAGTTTACTAGAAAAAATTCCACGCGGACCAGGCAGCAGACGGGACTCGAACCCGCACCCTTCGCTATCCGGGCGAATTCACTGACCATTATGCTACCACGGCCGTGACGGCCGTGTCGAATTTTCTCTAGCATTAGCAAGCTCTTCGCATTGTAGGTCACCCGCAATGTCAATTGAAATACCATATAATTCACAAGTATTAACCTTTGAAAGAAGAAATAGCAATTACAGTTATGCCGTTATGACGTATGCTGCCTGGTCCGCGTGGATTTTTTTCCAGTAAACTTTTCTTTGCTGGCGAACAAAACGGTATAATTACATAAAATTAAATTTTACCGACATACCTCCAATGAGGTTTTGGCATGATTTATAATTAATAAATTTAGTTATTTAAACACTTTTAGGCGGATTTGATTGAAAATTATTTGAGATTCAAATTCAACGGGTCCGAAACTTCCGGACTGTACAAAAAAAGTAGTTTGACCAGATGCGTAATAGGGTATTTGACAAGTTTTAGAAAACGATCTCACGTTATTGTCTAATGTTTATGGAGTCCGTAAAAAGTGGATATTCTTCATTCTGTTGTGTATTTAAGTAAAAATAACCAAATCTAAAATTCCATTTTCAAGTTGCCGCGAAAACGTTTCTCTGGACAATATGGCGTCTTACTAGTGTGTGACGTCACACGACTGTTATTAAAACGTCAAACGATACAATGTAATGTCTGGTAATGTCACTTTAACCGGAAGTTTACTTGCGTGTGATGTCATTTTAGGCACCGCCAATCCCAAGCGTTTTGGATCACGTGACAATAGATAAGAAAACTATTATCTTTTTCGAGGGTTTTTTAGTAAAATTATGAATAATGTTTTTGAAAAATTAGTAAAATCCCCTGCCATTATTCATTTTAAACACAGATGCTAACAATTGGCACTTTATTTTTAATACTGTCAATACTTTATTACCTTACCTCAACAATAAACTTACTTATTAAACGAGGGCACCATGACAGGAGATCCAGACATGGAGACCACCATCTCCCCCTGGCGCGGCTGGCGCAGCACCGTCAGCGGCGTGTGTGGGGCACACTGTGTACCACAACATTGCAATGTTAAATATACAGGGTTATTTCAAAACACCAACAACGCAATGTTTCCACAATGAGGGGAAATTCCCCTTTTAAGGGGAAATTAGGGTCCAGAGGGGAAGAAAAAGGGGAAATTGCGTGAAATTATGGGTAAAGCCTAGCCTAAAATAATGCGGCACAGAACAATTTTTTAATGGACTATACCGTGGACTAGTGTTGCCGTATAAAAAGAAACTGTGGCAACACGTGCAGATTTTATATATTTTATTTATCTGTTATAGAATAAGACAGATTAAGACTTTTTTTTCTTTAGTACACTAGTGCTAAATCTAAAAACTACAGCAGGATAATTTTTGAGAGGAAAAATGTTCTAAGAATGGGAAATCTGGGGAAAGGAAATCATTAAATGGAAACACTGCTTAGGAGGTGATTCTACCCATCAACAGGAACAACTTTTATTATGGGACCAACGCTGAAATCGCGAAAAAAAATCTGCTGTTTCATACAAAAGTGCATCAGCTAATCGACCGAAATGTACGATTTTTTAAAAATCTGTGAAAGCTGATCTAGTTATTATTAAAAATAACATGATGTCTTCTTTCAGTAGAATGTCCTATCTTCAATATTTAATATACTTTCCCTCCGTGAGGTAGCCGCGGGACGGTCTGTATAAGCGCGAACGGTGCCGCGCAGCGGACAGTTGTTTCAACAGCGATTTCGGAACGAATACAACTAGGCGATCAAAGAACACTCACACCAATAAGCCTAGCCCCAAAGTAAGCACTGTAAGGCTTGTGTTATGGGATACTAGGGTAACGGATAGAATACATATTATACTGTACATATATAAGTTCCAATCCCGGTGGGGCCAGATGTTTGTGTGATGAATACGAGCATTTGTACTCCAGTCATGGATGATTAATATGTATTTATATAAATATACTTATATATGTACAGTATATGTATTCTATCCGTTACCCTAGCATCCCATAACACAAGCCTTATGGTGCTTACTTTGGGGCTAGGCTAATTGGTGTGTGTTGGAAATATTTATTATTGGAACGAAGTTCCTTACGGCAGGCTTGGAGGGGATAGGGATTCTGCTGCGCGACCGAACTGAAAAAAATGTGATAGTAAGACCGTAAGAAAAAATCCGTGGAAAAAAGTGCGTGGAATAAAACCGTTAAATTAGACGTGCGCAGGCGCGACAGTCGCATACACAAGCGAGTTTGCAATTTGTGTCGATTTTACATTAGCCGAAGGAACTTCGTTCCTACCTGGTGTCCCATGACACTATATCATTTCTTTTTTTTTTATTTATTTAACTTCACGCGTACAAAGTCGTGGGCGGCCGCTGTGGCGGCGACATCTATATGCCCCACATATATACAATGGATGCAGGAAATCATTACTCACCATCCTCAAGAGATGGTGTTACCTGCACTGCGATCATAATAGTATGGAAGCCCACATCGCGCAAATGAAATTCGGAGGCTAACTCTTCATATATACGATCATCAGTCGGGCCGCTGCCCCCGAGCTAACATCACCCAGCTCGGAGGAAGATCTTCCCTTTTGGCCTTCCTACAGTCGCTAGTCAGTTCTTCGTTTAGAACAATGTTCTCACCTTCGGCGTGATAGCGGGATAGTTGACCAGTGCGTTCTTATTGTAGGCGGGCGTGCGGTACACGGAGCGGGAGCGTCGCCGCTGCGTAGTACGCGAGGCCGGCGGCGGCGGCTTGCGGCTCGACGCGTCCGCAGACCGCGAGCGACGACCGGTCGACCGACCAGTCGACGGGACCGCTATCAAATATTATAAACAACGATATTAATAATAATAATAATCCTTGGCCAAAGAGAACTGGCGCAAGCCGAGGGTTCTAAGCACCCAGGATCGCAAGGAAGTATGGAAAAGCAAGGAGCTCCACGGACGGTTCTATCGGGCCCTAACAGGGCCTGATGTGGACCAGCTCGCCTCCGTGAACAGGCTACGATTCGGTGATCTCTTTGGGGAAACCGAAGGGTTTGTCTGTGCAATTGCTGACGAAGTCATGATGACGAACAACTATCGGACATATATCCTGAGAGACGGAACGACCGACATTTGTAGGGCATGTCGTCGGCCTGGTGAATCCCTCAGACATATCGTCTCTGGTTGTTCTCATCTGGCCAACGGTGAGTATTTGCACAGACATAATCTCGTAGCCAGAATTATTCACCAGCAACTTGCTGTTCAATACAACCTTGTAGAATCCGAGGTGCCGTACTATAAGTACACACCGGCAGTACATGATAATGTGAACCCTGTCCTCTGGAAAAGGTTACCCTGAGGACCAGAAGACAGTGCTCTCCCCACTATTGTCACTTTAGAGCTACAATAATTTAAAACCACTAAATAAAAATTATATAAAAATAATTTTAAAAAAAAGTACCTAGGTTTAGCATTAACCGGTGTGTGTGTGTGTGTGTGTGTGTGTGTGTGTGTGTGTGTGTGTGTGTGTGTGTGTGTGTGTGTGTGTGTGTGTGTGTGTGTGTGTGTGTATGTTATATATTTAGAGCGTCGCCGCTGCATAGTACGCGAGGCTGGCGGCGGCGGCTTGCGGCTCGACGCGTCCGCAGACCGCGAGCGACGACCGGTCGACCGACCAGTCGACGGAACGGCTGACAATAGTAGATTATTAACCAAGGGGATAAAGCAGTGCCTTCTGTCGCGGGTGACGACTTAAATCGCGAGAGTAACGAAGGACTCGAGGTTTACTCCCGAGCGTAGCGAGGGTGTTAGAAACTTGAGAGAGGGATTTAAGACGAGTCTCGAGTGTAGCGAGGGATTTAAGTTCACCCAAGACTTAGACAGCTTTATCACCGAGGAAAATACTGTACTTTTCGTACCATTTGTGAAAAAATCAACACAATAATAATATAAGCGTTTATTAAAACAATGATAATTAAAAGTAAAAGGTAACATTCGGAACATTGGTCCAATTAAATACGGCCTCGTCGGTTTTCGTAATTTTATTTAATAATCATAACTGCACAATAAATGCGTATTCCCTTTTCAAAAAGATGTATACTGCTTTATATACAAACTCAATGGTGTAAACACAGATGTAGTTCAGTATAAATACGGTAAGTATTCCAAAATTAAATCACATTCTCCCCCTAGAGGATGAATGAAATTCAGTACAATTTTCTTTCCCTGTTTTAAACAGATTAAAAATGACTATTGTTATGTTTGCTTTTTGTGGCATAGAATGTCACTTTTTTGAGCAAGTGGTACAAAAATTATTTTAAAGTGGCCATACACACTACGAGAAAACGTTACGATTAGACTGTACCGTCCGAACGGTACCGATAAATCGTAGCGTGTTTGTTATAAAACTGCACAGTTTCCTATACGTACGCCACGTACGATAAACTGTTCCGTTCGAACTGTACAGTCTGATCGTAACGTTTTCTCGTAGTGTGTATGGCTTCCATTAAATGTCAAAGTTTGTACAATGCGATTCAAATAAGAATAGGAAAGCCAATGACCTCCAACTGTCAAATGTCGCTTGAAAAGTACGGTTTGCAAAAAAATCTTGGAACCCTTTTTAAGCACTCTGCTAATTCTAGAATAAAAACCACACATTTGTAAACAAACAATAACAAATATTGATAATTAATATTGGTTGATATTTTTTTTTCATTTATTGAGATTTGGCTATGAATGGTTGTTAACCTAAACCGTCAACCAAATGTCACTTTAAGTTGCGTTCAGAAACTTGATTTAAAACTTTCGTTTACCTAAAGGATGCATGTTCGTATGTGACCTAGTAATAGTGCATGATTATTCATAACTACTCCGCCGGTAATGCAGTGATGAGCGGAATTGACGAGCTAGATTCTGATTTGTTTTTTCTCACAAAGACTTAATAAATAAATATTATTAAAAATTACTTGATTTTTCTCATTCTTAGTAAATATTTTAGTAAAAAAATCTGATGTCTTTTCTCACTTAATCTTAGTTAGAAGTTTTATTAAATAAAATCTTTTTTTTGCTCACTCTACCTATTTGGTTTCAATTGACAGCTATGATTTTTTTTTTTTTTTTTTATAGTTAGGTCCGACAAATGACTCCACCCCACCTGATGTTAAGTGAAGGTGAAGTCCAGACGCGAAGATAGCTGATACAGCAGTTCTACCTGCCACACCAGCCATCCTCACCCTGCCGGCCTGCATGTTGCTTCTTCACGCCTCTTTTAAAGGATCCCAGGTTGTAAGAGTCGGTCCTATTCTTAGTTAAATCGCATTATATGTTTGTTTCTCAATCGCACATAAACGGATGAACGGATTCAAATGAAATTTGGTATGCATATATCGTTAGCAAAAAAACCTATAAGATGTTAATTACCCATAGAATATTAGAAAAGAATCCCAAAGAGAAAAAATAAATATATAATATAAAAATGTACCTTGTCTGGATGAATGACATTTTATTAAAAAAAATGACAAAAAAGCTCATGAGTTCGATAACATAATTTTTCTCAGACCTATCTCCTGTCCCATTGAGCTTTCCCAACATTCCTCACAAAAATAACACTCATTACAAAAGGTTTAACTTGACTGCTGTTTTTGGAAGGTGGTCAATTCAATGCATTTCATAAGGGGGCGTCCATAAATTACGTGAGATGTTTAAGGGGAGGGGGAGTCTCGGCAAATATCACGCCATATTTTTTCACAGTAGTATCTATTAAGTATTCTATTGTTAAATTTTTATTACACTTATAACTCTCAGCAGTATTGATTACTAGTCTTAACTAGTCGTAAATAAAAGCACGAAGCATTTTTCTTTTCTTTTTACAATAACAATCCAACGCGTTTACGAAAGAAACCCACATTTTGAAAAATCTCACGTGAGATCGGGGGATGGGGGAGGGGGTTGAATAAAATCTCACGACATCTCACCAGGGGGGGAGGGCGGGACAGAAAATCCAAAAAAACACCTCACGTAATTTATGGACGCCCCCTAACTTTAAAAAAGAAACCTACCTATCTTTAAATTGGATGCTGAAAATAATATATGAAATGATGCCAAATGTATTTCGAGATGTAGTCAACAGCCAGATGCTTAAGCATTGCACTGAATATAGGAAGCTGTACTTACCAAGATGTTTCTTCTTTGTTCCCCTGTCACCAGAGTCCTGCGAAGAGTTCTCCGTGAGGTAGCCTGCCCCACAAAGCGCCCAGTTAGTGGAAAGTATGGTATGATGATATGTTAGTATATTACAGTATTGAATAGAACAAGAAGAGACTGTGAATTCAAATCCTATGTAAAGAGAAAGAAGTTAGTAGTACTCAGTTTTTATAATAAAAATTACGGATATGTATACTATTTGACATACGATTTTAATATTTGTTTCTCAGGTTTTCACGCACATCACTCATTAAATAAAACTAGTTTTAACGGGTTAATGCACGAAACTTTATCTATTTATTGACGTTTCACAGCCATTTCAGGTCTGCATCATCAGAATAACTTTATAAAATCGTTAGAATAAGTTTATTCTGACGATGCGGACCTGAAAAGGCTGCGAAACGTCAATAAATAAATAAAGTTCGTGCATTAACCTGTTAAAACTAGTTTTATATATGATATAAGTTTGCTGTACAAAAAATGTATGGCAGGCCGAGTGATTTTCGCTTAAGCGACATCTAATTTATAATGTAAAGGCATTATGTAACTTTTCAATAAGAGGATATTTAGAAAATATTATTTTATGAATTTTTTTAAGTACATTGCAGTTCATTTCATTTACATGAAAAAAAAACTTTGATCCTCGTTTCTGTAAAGTTTTGATTTTGCTTTTCCAGTATTGTTATGTATTCAGCGTCATGCTTGTTTTTTTAATTTGTTAATGGGTAAGCTAGTACTCAGAAGGAGCCCATTCACTCGGACTATTTGTAACTAAGATAATGGAAGCAGTTTTTTTATACATTTATTTATTGATAGAACTAAAAATAATAATAGATATAAATATCTCTTCTTTTCTAGAAAACACTAGATGCCTAAAACTTTTGAGTTTCTGTGTCAGAATGAACACATTAATACATTAATGAAAAGAAAAGATGCTTACCGTCATCATGAGATGCCGCTCGATCGGAATGTGTTACATTTGTGACTTCCTTCAAATGGAGCTCTGTTTTCTATAAATAAAATAGAAATGTCATTGATTCTGAACCATATAAAAATTAAGTGAAATCAAATAGGTTTTTTATTTATCAATTATTGGTTACATGGAAGACCAAGGGCCCATCTTAACATACTTAAAATTATTAATAGCAACAAAGAACCAAAATCAGGTCCTCAGAATTTGAAAAATATTATAAGTATGTGTTTCAAAATGTAATTTTAGTTTAAAATATTTATTTTTTAGGTTCCAGCTACAAAGAACTAAAAGTACTTCACAATCATATTGAGCTTTACATAAGGAATCATAACGATTTGCCTACAGTTGTAAGGTACGCTGTAAGGCACTCGCACAGAAGTACTTGAATGATGTAGTGCCTGGGGTGTAGTGCCTGCCAGCTTGTTTTTTTTACAACTTTAAGAGACATAGCATAGCAGCTGCATGGATGCACACATACCCACCCATAAAGCTATCATATGACAAATTCCTGTAAACCCTTTTTTAATTAATGCTATTTAGAGTTTGTTCTTGTACTATTTTTAAAATTCAATGTTATATTGATTTAAAGAAACCCCGTTAGTATCTAATGTGTACATAATAATTGTACCAGCTATCTTTACCTATGGACTTCACCATCACTTAACATCAGGTGGGAAGGAGTCATTTGTCAGACCTATCTATAAAAACAAAAATTAGTTTAGGTAATTGGCCTTAACATTGTATTTATATTTTATTGTATTACATCCACTAAAATCGCTGTAGAAACTTTGTTGAAGATAAATAAAGTAAGGTATAATCATTTTCAGAACAATTTTCTAAAAAATGTAAGACCTTTCATCTTCATCTAAGACCCAAGTACTAACTTTGACAGATCTGTAAACATATCATCATATACAAATTCTGTATGAAAGCAGCCAGTTTGTGGTGCTCCTTAGTTTTCACAGAAACTTTAGACAATGCAGTACATTGCAGAGCTGTCAAAGTTCATGCTAGGGCCTTTGTATTCACTCACCAACTGGCCGACAGTCTTTTGTAAATATGTGTTGTTGATCGAACCCAATAATATTTTGAATGCCAACTCAATATTCCTAATCTCCATATGAGCTTTTGCGTCAATTTTATTCTTCTGGTCTAACACTGTAAAATATAAAGGTATAGTATAGTTGTTGGCAAAGTTCATATTATAATAAGTATGCGAAATATCCGATATTTAGACAAAAGACTAAATTGGGGGTTCTCCTAGTTATTTGAAAGCAAGGGATCCTTTCCTCCCGCACACCATTAAGACTGTCCGAAACTTTGATAACACTTGCTAAGACTATCAGCTGTGCCACAAAGCAGCTACTTTGTAGAAAAGTAACAAAAAACGTGTTTAGAACCTCAGTTTAAAGAGGCTATATTGAGCTATCCTTATAATCATTTCCAGGACCCGATATGGCACCGCGACTTATGAGACTCTGGAGTAATAAAAGAAGGACTAACTTCTTACATACCCATTTTGTTTAATTTCTTCAGAGCATCGTCGTCTTCAATAGATTTATCTTGCTTTTTAGTAGGCCTCTTTGTTCTAGGCATTTTATGGCCTAAGTACACCAAAACGTAATCAAATATATTCAACTCTTAGTGGAAACTAAATAATATTATTGAATAAAATTGTCAATTTACAGAAAGAATTACTCATTCAAATAAATTTTACAAAATCTAAACAAAACACAATCACGATCAACCGACCATTTTTAAATATTTTGTCTATACAACAGAATTCTACTTTTTAAATTCTTTCACAGAGAAAGAAAAAGATATTTTTCTTTACAGCCAGGCAGCTTAGCCTTTAGAACATTTTTTGTTAAAGGAGTTTATATTCTTTTGATAAATACTCTTTATAATTTTGTTAACCCTATTTTTGTAATCTGTCATGTGTGTGTCATAGCAACCGTTGTTTTCTTTTTTTCATAATTAAATATTCTGATCTGTCATGTGAGCGCCGACTTTATTATTTCATAATTTATTGATAATAGTTCTATCATTTTTTAATTTTGTTTTCTTTTAGTTAAAATATGTAAGTACTCCAAAAAGTGATTATAGTATTGAGTGAGGATCATTTAGATTGTTTCCAATGTTTTAGAATAAAGTTACTGTACTTTTTTATAAATAAAGCAGTGGTCTTAATCTACCGATTTTTGGCTATTTCAATCGGTATGGCAGTTGTCAAAATATCAAAATGAATTGAGGTTTCTTTGATTTCTGATAATGCAAGAAAATTCATGTAATTTTTGGTAGATACTGATTTTCAATAATTAAGAGCTGGCATCACTATTCGTTTGTCTGTTACGGATGCGCAGTTGCTATTTTTTTGAAAAAACCTCACAAAAAACGTCACGTTGAAAAAAACAACACAGTCTTTGTTATTATTATACTAGTATTATTCCGTGGTATTATTATACTATTATTAAAAACAGAGTCATCTATACTCTGATTTTTAATTCGATGTAATCCCATTTGAACATTAAATAAAACAAATGACATAATAATAATAGGAACTTTTAATCGTAATTCGACAGATTATTACATGTACATGTTTGGTAATTTGATCTATAGGTATACCGAAGTCGCCGCCAAAAAAATGTTTTAAATGGCTAAAACGCCTTTTTTGTCTTTACCTTACCCGTAAGATGTATCAAAACGGTTGTAACACTCCTATTAGAGGATGACAGTAAAATACAATATTTATACAGTTACAATGATTTAATAAACTTTAGTATGTAGGTAGGCACACGGACCAGTAGAAAACAAGGGTGTGGGTAAGAAAATACACGAACCGATATGTGCAATAAAGTCCGCTCCACAATCACTGTCCTGAGGTCGTCGGATGCGCCAGCAGGATTTCAGGGAGGTAACTCTTGCAGCACAGGCAGCTGGTAGGTTACCTAGGTAGTACAGGTAGGTTGCCCGGGTAACCGTCACCCCTCGGTAGATGAGATTCCCGGATTAGTAGGTACCGGTACGGTGAACCACAGAATCATAAATATCTGACATTTTATAATTGTCCGGATTTCATAGTTTGACTGCAGCTATTCGTGTTCTCTAAGCGATTGGAAACAAGGGGAATAATTGATTGGGATTCGCATATAATAGAATCAATGATGAGGCAAAATATGAAAGAATAAAAAAATATAGAGGTAAGAAAATAATATGTAAAAGAAAAAGAATTTTCGACTAAAGATTCGGAATGTTTTACAATGTAGGAATCGTGAAATTTTCGCCATTGTAATACTAAAAAATATATTACATTTTTTAAATGAATAAAAAAAAATGGGTGCGTGTACTTATGTAGGCGCGTGAGACGTTATCCTTCTTTGGCATCGTTTAAAATTAGTTTTTAATTGCATGCAAATAATTAATTACAATAAATTAATAAAAAGTCTGGAAAAGGACACAGTCAATAAAGTTCAGTTTTAATTTGAAAAAAAAAAATGGTTGCCTGTAAAGTCGGTTTTACGGGCGAAGATTTTACGTGTCAACGTCTTTTTCTCGGTAGAATATTTATTGATATGAATATAATTAAATTGCACAATAGGAACAAGGAATTGAATGAAAATAAGAATTGCACAAATTTTAACTATAGAAATATATTTTGTTTACTAAAACATTGTACATGTAAACTTAAACTCATCGTAACGTTACCGAGCGTTACACTTTTTCATAAGTGACTCCCAGCCGCAACCTAATTTAAGACGTTGTCACGTCAATAAATAAATAATCAAAATATTCAATTAAAATCGCTACTGAATATAATTTATTAGAACATATGTGATTTGCACTTGTATGAAACTCAAACAAGAATTCCGAATATACAAACTAGAAACATGTGGATAAATATTATAAATATGAATACATATAACTGTTACTTTATTACAAAAAATAAAGATGTGGTTTTTGGTTCTACTACACCAATGGTCAAGAGATGGCGCTGTAGTCTCCTGAATCGCGCTTTGGTTCCGTTGTTCCAGATTAATAAATACTTTTGATAGGCCTTCACAATGCAGTCGTTAGCACCCACTAAATAGAGATTCTATTTCTATTTTGTAGGTAGATTTTCTTAATGTGCGGTAAACACAAAAGTAACGCATAAAGTTCGCTTTAGCGACCAACTTCATGCTGTTAAAATTTTGTGTTACAGTGATGCGCGCGCATCTTAAAATTTCACTCTCATCATTTTTTCATAACGCGCCTAAAGAAGTATAACTTCAACAACAAGTGACACATGAATAAATTAATGAACAACATAATAAGCAGCTACTTATGCCCGTAAGCCGTACTGCAAAGCCTTATAGGAAAATCTAATTAAAGAGAGATATAATAAAACATGAAATGAGATGTTTTCAACCGTAAACAACTGCTGTTTTTGGGTGATCAGTGTTGGTTCAAAGTCAGAAAGTGGTTGTTATCGGTTGCCCGAAAACGATAACAACTGCCTTTACATCTATAGTGAGGTCATTTTAGGCTCCACCAATCCCTACGTCCACTTGACAATAAATAAAAAAAACTTTTAACCTTTTAAACTTCTTTACGCACGCTTGACCTGGGGAGTAAGTTGACGAACGCGTTACGAAAAGTGTGATCGGGCGAGGTGAACGGGAGTTGAGTGGGGGATATAAGCAAGAGAACGCAGTGTGCGCGCACACATTTTCTTTTTCTCTTTCTCTTATAGCTAGTTAATGAAATATGTATATGTACATACATGTATATATTGTACACATATTGTATATATATATATAAATAAATATATACCTTATTCTACGTAAAAGATCGACGTTCGCGCGAAATAATAAACGACGTGTTGCACTCCGGCATTGCCGGCAGAAGTGAAAACTTGAATTTTAACGTTGTGCATTTTTGTTATTTTGGAATGGTTAGGAAATAATTTTGCACGAATTGCTTTTAAATGTTGGTATAAAAGTACTATCATTTTTATGGTATAATACAATATTTATTTATTGCGCTATGGTACACAAACATGACAAATTATATTACATTATAAAGTTTATCTCTCAGAAAAATCTATTTACATGAATCACATTTCAGCGCACCTAGCTACATCTATTGTAAAAAATGCATTTTTTTCACTATAAAGTTGCCACCTCGACGTCCTAGACTTATTATTATAATACGATAAAATAAAATATTACTATATTTCGTCCAACTTATTGTACTTTATTATACTTATAAAGTCAAAAACCTTTCCAGTTTTATTGTTTTCATCCTACACCACGTGTGCTGATGCGAGTTTAACATTTTTTACCCATACAAAAAAAGTGTACAACGCCGCTAAACAAGTTTTCACTTCAAAAATCACGAATGTAGCGATAGCAAAAATTACGCGATATCGCAATCTCGATTGGAGTAAGCACTAAATATTATCAAGCAAGCACTATTAGGTAAATTTAATAAATAAAAACCATCGTACCTAGAGTTTTTGATAAATATAATTAATGGAATAATTTTAGTTTATTACATGTTTATTTATAGAAGAAATGATGATCCAAATATACCGATTTGGGTTAGCGATTCTACCGATGTCCAATTGGTTCGATCGGTGACATCACATTCACAACACAACACTACTGATTCTGAGAATTAAAAAAAACTGTGATTGGAGAAGCGTCATACGATACGTACAAACTACGATGGTGTTATTTTTGATATTAAAAAATTGTTTAACTTAGACAATTTCGTATCCATTCTTGTAATGGTTTCTGCAGTTTTACTAGAATTTATAAATATTTAGGGTTCATGTTTTGTTTAAGTGTTGATTGGTTTGTTTTGTTATGATGAGCCTAGAATGGCGGACGTTGTCAAATTGGGATATTTGTTAGCATTTTTATTGTTGAATTGCTCCATTGGTAAGTTTTTACTAGTACTTTTACGTATACTCTTACTATTCAAATGTAGTAATTAACTTCTATAAGACTCTGGAACATCCGAGTAATTGAGGTCTTTATGATAATGTTTGTTTAGAATAAACAGGATAGATGCATCAACATAGTGAGATTACATGTTTTTGTTGCATTATGTTTATATAGAAAGTGATTAAAACTAGCGTGAACACAGAAAATCACTCAATATTTAATGCTACGATAGATCTCTAAACCAGGGAAAAATGGGCATTCCAGGTCAACTATAGTCGTCAAAAGCATTATTACTGTGCCTAGTCAATCTTTGGTAAAAATAAGAATAACTTGTAAATAAAATAAGAAATCCAGTAGTACTGGAATTAAATTATTCTTAAAAATTCATATATATATACATACATTCATAAGAAATGTACATAGGTAATGCGTTCAAAACAAAAGTGAATTTGAAAGCAGTTGGTCTGCTTGAAAGAATTGATTTCTATTAGTAAAATGCTAATTTAACTCTGGTTAACTGTGTAAGGTATTTATCAGTTACCTCTCCTGCTTGCCCTATTTTAATTATATTGCCCTTGTATCAATACTTAATTGAAATAATATAAATAAATAATAAATATTTCACACACACACACACACACACTAATTAGCCTAGCCCCATAGTTAGTACTGTAGGGTTTGTATTATGGGATGCTAGAGTGTCGGATAGAATACATAAATAAGTAAATTTTATCTAGTCTAGAAATATATGTAAACATCCATGACTAAGATACAAATGCTCTTAATCATCATACTTACAGTTGCCCCCATGGGGATTTGAACCCAGGACCTCTGAGTAGGCGACATCACAATACCACGCATATAGGCCACTTAGCCACAGAGGTTGTCAAATATCTCATAATCTTATCTATATCCCGAAATCCTATTTGTATTGCAGGTTTACTTGGCCTCGATGCAGTAGATGATGATGGGGGATCAGAAACAACCCACGCTTCACGGCTGCAGAGCCTCGATGATCCCATCACTCTGGATCACATGATGGTACATCACCACAGGTATGTGATCCACACGTGCATCATATAAATTTTAACTTGGTGATTTTCTATTTATATGTGTGCAATGAAGTTGTTAACATTGTTCTACAGTGAAAACCCTATAAATTGAAATAAGTTGATATTAAAATCAAGTTATCAGAGATGAAAAACTGAGTTGGTTTTGTATTATCTACTAATTTTTATTAGTATGTACTAGTAATATTTATATGTTATGCTGAAAATAAGGGAGGGATTGAGGAGCTCGATGGCGCAAGTGGATAGCGCGTTCGGCTGCTATCGTTAAGTTAAGCAACTTTCGCATTGGTTGGTCATTGGATGGGTGACCAAAAATTTACTATCTCGAGTTCCTCTGTGCTTCGGAAGGCATATTAAGCCGTTGGTCTCGGCTGCATCTGCGGTCGTTAGCATCCGCCAATCCGCACTGGGTCTGCGTGGTGGGTCATGGCTCAATCTCCCTATTCCATCCATAGGGAAGGCCTGTGCCCCAGCAGTGGGGGGGCACATTAATAGGCTGATGATGTTGAAGATGATGATGATGAAAATAAGAAACAGGTAACAAAAATAACAAATTGCATTGAAGTTTCTGATAAATTTGTAATTATAGATTTTCAATATTTTGTATATACATTTATATATGTATGCCGCATTTCAATTATGAATGACAATTTTATTATTAAAAATTTTCGAACATCTGACTCCTGTTATTTATAGCTTTTGCGACTTGTATATTGCATATGTTTTCTACCCTGTACAATGTATTAAAATTGATGTTAATTATTTTTTTGTATTGTGCTGCTCAGAAGGAGAAAGTTCCAAAGGTAATTAATTATCAGCTATAAGTTTTATCGATGGATTGTGGTGAAAACATCATGCTTCCATAACTTTATAATATAAATGATTTCTTAAGAATAGGAAGATAAAATAGGCTATGCTCAGTTTTTTTTTACTTATATGGAAATTGTTTAAAAACAACACTTCATAATATTTATTAAGTAACTGGCTCTGCTCTGCGGTGTTACTCGCGTTTATATGGGGATATTTTCCTGCAGTAAAACGTAGACTTAGTATGTGTTAATCCAGGGTGTTAGTTAACTCCATACCAAATTTTATTAAAATCGCTCCAGCCGTTTAGACATGAAGAAGTAACAAACATGCACACTCACAAACTTTCACCTTTATAATATTAGTGTGATGAAAGTACAATTTATCTATAGATCTTTCAGTATAACATAGAGAATGTACTGAGAGACACTTGCATAGGAATGAAAGCTTTCAGAAAGGGACAAAAAACATCAAATACATAGACAACCTCCGTGGCTCCATTGGTACCTATAGATCTTTCAGTATAACATAGAGAATGTACTGAGAGACACTTGCATAGGAATGAAAGCTTTCAGAAAGGGACAGAAAACAACAAATACATAGACAACCTCTGTGGCTCCATTGGTACCTATGTACGATGCCTTTCAAGGTGTCGCCTACTCAGAGGTCCCAGGGTTGAATACCGGTGCCGGGAGGCTGCTGGGTGCGGAGACGCGGAAGAATCCCTAAACGGGGATCCCGCGGTTTCGCACTAAGCAGCTTAGAGGTTTTCACAACAGTGTTTCCGGACCAATACGACCCAAGAACCTTCAAAAAAAGAGCGTACTCCTTCCTTAAAGGCCGGCATCGCATTTGTGATACTCCTGGTGTTGCAAGTGTCCATGGGCGACGGTGATCACTTGCCATCAGGTGAGCCGTCTGCTCGTATGCCCCCTATAACATAAAAAAAAGAGGGCAGGATCGCAGGGTTTTTTAGCGGATATTATGCCGTAAAGCGCCCGAAGAGTTACGGGGTCCTCAGTGGGCAGCCACTGTGGGGGTTCGTAAGGTTTGCGGGAGCCAGGTGTGAGGTCCGTTCGGCGGTGTGCCTCTTAAAGGCGTCGTCGTCTGTAAACAGAGTTTATGTTTGCGTAAAAAAAAAAGGCTTGAATACCGGTGGGGCAAATACTTGTATGATTAATACAAGCATTTGAACCCAATTAGAGTGTATATGTATGTACTTATATAAATTATGTCATATATAATATCCCATAACACAAGACTCACAGAGCTTACTATGGGGCTAGCGTAATTTGTGTGTGTTAGACATTTCTATCCCCTCCCCTCCCTCCTAATTTTTCGGTTTTGGCATACTTAACAGCCAAGTTATACTCACAGTTGGTATACCCTAACCAGTCTATTCTGTGGCCCGTATTACAGAATGACAACTAAGTGTTGATATTTACTTGAGTACAGTTAGAAAGGGATGTCGCTATGTGCTATATATAGCGACATCCCTTTCTAACTATGCTCAAGACTAGATCAATCACTGAGAATCTTTCTATAATACGGGCCTATATGTCCATGGTTAGGAATACTAATTATTTTTAGAGCGTGCGCTGCGTTAAGTAGGGATGTCGAAAGTTGAAAAAAATATCGATATATCGATACATTGATATTTAAAAAAATATCAATATCGGCTTCGATATATCGCGAAAAAAACATCGATATATCGGACCAATTTTCCCAAAAATATCGTACATTAGCTCACGAAATATGACACGCGGAATAATAATGGAACGAAAATTTTCTCCCTAAAAATAGACCCTATTTTCCAATGATGACATAGACAATATTAAATACAGCACAGATCATAGATATATTGAATATCATTAACCTGAGATCCAGTTACGATTTTTCCAGATACGAATTTAGTTAGATCGTGATATGCCGCTAATAATTAAAAAAAATATCATTTTTGATACGAATTTCGATATTGGTTATTTTGTATCGATGTATCGATATATCGAATCAAAATATATCGGCAAAAAATATCGATATATCGAACGAAAAATATCGATATATCGATATATTTTCAACAAGCCTAGCGTTAAGCGGGGGCACGGAGCGGGCGTCCGCTCCGCGTGTAGTTTCAAGTAATTTTATAAAGAAGCGCTACGACAGGTGACCCGCCACAACAGCGCTGCTCTACGAAATAACATGAAACTGTGTTAGGATAATGGCAGAAAATATTGAATGCGGCTTTTCTTTATGAAAGACTTTATTTTCCTTTATGTTACATTACAACAATTTTACTTTGTAGCACAACACACCATTTTCAAGTTCAGCAAACACCAGAATAACATAGATTACAAAACAAAAAGGCAAAGGGATTCAAATACTATAATGCCAAGTATTAAATCACATATGTATTCTTAATACACCTTCTTGATTTAATACATGCATTAATTACTTACAATAATAAACAGCTACAATAGTTTTATATTTCAAAAACAGATACATATGACCAATGTTATATACACTATTCCAATTAACTGTCTGAACTTTGTGAATTTAAATTCTCCTAATGATTTTGTTAAAATGTCTGCTATCTGATCATCTTTAAAATTTTTTATTACATTAATTAAGCCACTCTTTACGAAGTCATACACAAAATGATAACTAACATCTATATGTTATGAGTTTTTGCAGAATTTACCATTTTTAGCTAAGGCAATAACACCACTGTTATCTTCATAAATACACTTTGATTTACATTAACACCAATCACTCAGTACTCCTTTTATGGGTAACACCTCAACACAATAGGGTTGATGATTATTTTTTTTCTTCGTTTATCAGGTAGATTATCAAAAAGTATTGGACACGTATTTTTTCTTTTTTCACATAATATAAACATTGCAGAGATATATTGATTTGAAAAGTAGCATGACGTCACGTTTGAGTACACTTATAAGTGAAAATTCACTCAAAAGTGACGTCACGAGCCCCTACTCCCAAACTTTGACACGCTATAACTTTGTCATTTTTTGGTTGATTGCCCAAAGAAAAAATACGTGTCCATTATTTTTTGATCATCTAACTGACGGACTAAATAGAATTTCGTTTACTGTACCCGGTCATCACCCCTATTACTTAATTGTAACTGCGCTCGCAACAGATATAAATGCCATCAATGCGAGTCACAAGACTGCGAGGGCACTGCGCGCGTATGCAGCGACGCGTTATATTGTTACAAGGCGTCGGTGAGGGCCTCCGACGGCGCGCTGCAGCAGTCACGCGGCTGCAGCAGCAACAGCGACCATTATCACTTCACCTGCCGCACCACGCAGAGACAAGGGTAAGTGTTTTCGAGGGTAGAGCCATACCCAGATAGGGTTACTATTAGACTTGTAACGAATAGTATATTCGGCGAGGCCCCTGACCGAATAGCCGAATATTAGGCAAATGTATTTTAGCGCCAAAAACTTATACAGACGTGATTGTTTCGCGCTCCTTTGTTTTGTTCTAATCTGCCGTCCTCAAGCTAAAATGCGGCTAAATGACAAAACCAACTTTTGAGATATGACCAAAAACGGCACGTAAACTTTAAATTATTGCTGTTATGTAACCATTCATCACATGACTGAATAAATTAAAAACTGTTAACTTGTTTAATACAGAAAATGATTAAATTATTTACCAATGAGTACTTAATAAATGATTATAAAATAAATGAGAACCTTACCCTTCTAAATGATTACCACAATAATTCAAATACACAGAATCCTCCATTTTTCCAATGCAGAAGATGATTATTTACCTGTTTTATGTACCAATGACTACTTAAATGATTATATAATATAAATGAAAATATGAATATATACTTAATCAATCGATTTTAATTTTTCATTTTACCAATTATTTCTCTATGACAAAATATATTATTTATGTATTCGGTATTCGGCCGAATATAATAAAAGCAGCCGAATAGGCCGAATACCTAATAGTAACCGAATATTCGTTGCAAGTCTATTTACTACTTAAAAAATTTAAAAATCCTGACAAAAAGCCGGACATTTCGATAGAAGTCAGGACATTTTAGTCTCAAAATGCAAACATCAGCCACTTAGTTACAGTGATATTATACGCTTGGCCTAGCAGACGCTAGCATCGCGAGGGGGCTCTCGTAATTGATTTTTAAAGAATTTATATTTTGTTTTACTATAATGAGAACTTAATAAGGATTATTTGACTTACTTGATATAACTTAATTAGTAGTTTGACTCTTAATACATCTATTAAAAAAAATCCGGATAAATTAAAAAGCCGAACAAAGTCCGGACAACAGGCAAAAAGACCGGTTATGTCCGGACAAATCCGGACGGATGGTAACCCTATACACAGATCTATGGGCCATCAATAACATGCTGTTGAATTCACATTACCTCATTCTGTGTTTCCGGACCAATAGGACCCAAAAGCCTTCAAAAAACCGCATTTGTGATACTCCTGGTGTTGCAAATGTCCATGGGCGACGGTGATCACTTACCATCAGGTGAGCCGTCTGCTCGTATGCCCCCTATAACATAAAAAAAAACTGTTTGACGTTTCGTGACGTCGCCTGCATGTAAGATGCCATTTTAGCAAGGGTGGTGTGCGTGAAGTGAAAACTTATGAAGCATATATATTAATTTACTATTTATTTCCTTTTTACAGTAAACGCCATGCGGGTCAGTTGAACATAACCTGCTGTAAAGGCGATCTCTGCAACGACGGCAGTTTCCCCGACTTGCCGCCGGTCGCTGACACCTCTATAGAGCCTCTACCTTCTCACATATGGAAGTTATGGGCCAGTGTTATAGCTTCCGTGCTTATAGTCAGCGCTATAGGAGCTATGGCTATATTTGTGCTGAGAAGGAGTCATAGGTAAGTTATTTTCTTAACGACTATAGTCTAGTACACACATGTCACACACGTTCATCTTCATCATTTTTTTTAATAATAATGTAAATATATTTTGTCTTGTCGACAGGCTACGTGTGTCAAGGGCAGCGCTACACAAGTTGGGTGCCGATTCTAATTACTTCTCCAGCAATATGTACAGCCCTCATGTTACCAGCGCTTTTTATGAAGGTGAGTAATCGATAATATATGCATATATATGTTTCGTGCCTAAAACAGTGTTTAAAGGAGAATGGGCATTTTACTTTGGGAGTTGGGCTAAGTTTTTTTCATTGCGTCTTATTGGAATAAGTGTACAACAATAGGGAATCAGGTGTATATTGCGTAGGAAAAATATCATTAGAAACTTAAGTAGTGGTTTAAAGAAAATATTAAATTACGTAAGCATTTTAAGGTTATGTCATATTTAGATTCGATTAAATTCGATACTTATACCATACTTAATTATTACTAGGTATACAACTTTAAACTGTATTTAATTAGGTTGTGACCTTTTGTCTTCTATTTTGGACTGGGAGTGAAACAAAAATTGAATGCACAAATCTTATCAACGAGCAGCGTATATTTGTAAACTGTTGCGTTGGTGAGCTGCTATCTATCTCTATTTATTCCAAACATCTCAGATTCAATAAATGTGGCGTTGTTGAGGTGCGGTTATATTAGTGCTATTTATACTTATTCTCTTTACGCTCAAGCTGCACCTTTGATGCTCTGTTAACCCAACAATGGATATAGTATTATTTAAGGTTTAGGAATCAAAAATAAATAAGACAAAATATTTTAATAATGATAATCATTTATTGATAACACATTTATCCAAATCGACATTATTAATGTGATATTTTTATTTTATATTTTTGGGGTTATGCCGTTTCCAGTGGAACTGTAGTGACTTCGCCTAAAATATCTTTTGTAACTCGCCACCATGTCCTGTTGAGTTTGAAATATCCAGTTAAAGCTCTGCTAAGTTCAATTAGCACAGCAGTTTATACATTAAGCGTGCTCTAACCCTGGTTTATATATTGCCTTTTTTTAAAAAAGGATTGACTTATATACCTTCTTCAAATACCTCATCTAAAAATGTAGCTGGAGCATGCGTATCGTTAAATCGCCCCCAGCTAAGGTACCAAACTACCGTCATTACGTGTGCGCAACATCCTACTGTCCTTTTGCCTACAATACAACTGCAGCAATAGCCAACTAAACAACTTAGTGTATTGGCTATATTGGTGTTACGGCTGACTAAAATGTAAACAAAATAGGTGCGTCCACCAACGTGTCTAGACTTAATACGTCCTCTAAGCAGATAATTGTTTAAACCTAATACAAGGGGAACATCTTCATCTATTTCTGTATTTATTTCTATGGAATATATCCCAGACGATCGAATATGTTCCCCATAATATGATCGCGCCTGCTTTAACTGATAAGTGCCTAATGCAAAGCGTTTTAAATCAGTGATGCTTAAACTGGGAAAGGTTTCCAAGTGAGGATGATTGCCATCAATTGCAGAAAACATTGCACGTCTTCTGTTAAGATTTTGAGTTTCTACAAACTCGGCCAAATGATTGGACTCATTAAGCCGATTTTGAGCAATAGCTACATACTCGCTTGCTTCTGGAGGATCCTGTATTAAGGGTGAAACTTATTTAACAGAGCACATGCAATTCTTAAATCATCTTTTAAATGAGTTGCAGCTCTGTTATTAAATACATGCCTGAACAATCTAAAATCTCGTTTTATACGTCCATTTACTATTTCAACCACCCAGCGACACATTGTTACAAATCTAGATTTGTTAGCCTGAAGGGTAGTGAGTTGATGTTCACCATCTAATAATGATTCAGGCATGTAAGCTTTAAAACCAAGATCCTCCATAAATTCAATTACGTCCCGAAACCCCCTATCCAGAATAAAAACATCATCCTGCCGGAAAAATGAACGCAGTTTTCCTTCTTCATTATTTAAATCATGCCTTGTTATTGAAGCATCATTAGTGGTTGCTTTATAGGGACCCATACAATCTATAATATATCTATCACAACACACAACCATAAAAGGTTTAACTAAATTATCAGATTTTTGTAAACTATATGATTCTTTTTGAAAACGATAATTGCTGCTGCTCTGGACAAATATATAAGTTGCGTCACACATAACAATAGCGGGTTTAATATCATTTGGTAAGATTGGATTACCAAACAATCCCTCCGGGATTATTTTATTTCTGCTGGCCTCTTGCTCCACATTTACATGACCAAAGCCCAAATGTCTTGACACAAAATCTTCAATTGAACAACTTCTAGCTATATTCATTTTTCTCTCCAAGGTCCTACGAGACATTTGAAAGAGGGAACTTAATCGTTCATTGCTGTCCCCAGTTCTTAACTTGACTATGTAAATACAGAGTGCTAAACGGGGATACTGTACTCTGTAATAAGCTTGGTACACATGCCAAGAGTTCATCAAACTGTTCAGCATTCATTCCCAGCCAATAATGGCATAAGAAAGGAGCCATTGCAGAAATATTTTCAAAGTCGAAACAATGGGAAACTGCTCTCTGCATTATATTCAAAACGGCATCAAACTGTACACCAGTAAAATCTTGCAGATTTGATGTTAAATCACTCCAACGCCCATTATTCAAGTGATGTTGACATATTCTACAACATGTGGGAACATAGAATTTATTATGTATTAATAACATTTCTCTTATTACTCTGGGTACTAATAAACATTGTTGTTCCCGGCATCCTGAAAACAGACAACTCGATGAAGTGGCTACAGCACGCTTATATACTGATGACTGTATCTTAGGTATAACAGGTCTTGAAGGCTGAACAGGTAATAGACCAGCGGGAAATGGTGGTGGTACTGGGATCACTGGTACAGACTCTGTTGGTTCTACATCAATTTGTTCAATTGATGACCGATTCGCATCATGTAACTGTTTCCTTTGCACTTCCTTATTAGCTGCTCGCCAACAGGCAGCACAAACTCTTGAAATTCTTGACACCTATAAAAAAAAGATAAGGGAACTTGAATTTAATGAAAAACCATCTACAACTATTTTATGCAATAGAAATATATTTCTTATAATAATAATAATAAATCATTTATCTGACAAGATATGGTAAATTATACAGATCTCAAAAATATAACCAACATGACCTGTCGCTTTTATCAACGTGCAAATATTTATAGGTAGTTGCAGTATTATCCAGAACTCAATCTTTAAAAACTATATATATTATTTGTATACCATAGTCATGATTGGGTTAGTTATTATATAATCAATTTCATTAATATACTACATGACAATTGTGCAATGTAAAAAATAAATGTCAAAGTCATGTTTCAGTTAGTATTGAAATCAATTTAAATAAATTATTATTAATATAACATTTCAATCATGCAATGCAAAAATAATAATAATGTCACAGTCATGTTTTAATTAGCATTGAAATCAATTTTAATAATTTATTATTGATAATAATATCTTATACCATACCTGATGTGCTGGAGTCCATCTAAGAATAATATTTCTTTCTGGACAGTGTAGTGAAACCCTGTACGATCGACTTCTTAATATGGATTTTCCACAACCAAAACAGACTTGTTGATGGCCATATTGTGGTGCAGGTACTTCTTCGGTGGTGTCACTAGCTTGTAGTAGCATAAAGCATTCGTTGCACACTATGCCCCCATTCAATATCTATAACATGTCAAAAATATTTATATTTATTTGAACATGTGAATAAAATTAAAACATTATCTCACGGTTGCGATTGTATAACGATATATTTTTAGTAATATAAGTAAATAATTACTTACAGAATCAGGTGCGATCCATGAGCTTAAAACATTAAGCATTGAATTGGATAGCATGTCCAAAGAATGTACTGGCTGTCGTCGTGGCACTGATATACAACGTCGTTGCATACTGCCTGCGTTTTCTTGTGTAACACCAGATGCCATTGTAAACAAAAATAATTACAATAAACTAAGAGTCCAAATATCTCTGTCAGAATCACTAAAGGTAACTTAACACTAAATCAACGAGTCCAATGCTCTCTTTCCCAAAAAACAGTTATTAACGGAGGATTACTCAACTCAATATTAAAACTATTCTGCCACAATAGACCACTGAAAACACAAATTCAATTCAAAATTGAAAACTGTACTTAGTAGTTAGTCACTCGGAACAAACAACAAACACGTTGACAACAAGTTGACAGCTACCTACTTCACTTGCCTATGGTATATATTTCGATTTGATTCTATAGGAATCGATACCTACACAATCGATTAATAAATGTTTTATTTTTCAATGCAAATGCTTAAAATGTTCAAACCATGAGTTAATTTATATATGATTAAGTAATTATATATAACATAACTGATAATTTCAACAAAAATATATTCCCTTTTTTAATCTAAGATGTGAATATGTAGTACACATATAAAAGTTTTTGTATGCGATCTACTGTTTGATGAACAAAATAGTCCGCAGACAAAAAATCCTCTTTTGCGCAGCCCATTAAGTTCCTTTTAGTTTTTAGATGCAATGAAAGAGAGCAATCCCTGGTAGGTACAGTGAGATAGTCACAACACAGGTCTTACAAATGATAACTTTATGAATTTAATGTTATTTATCATGATATAATATCGAGCCCTTACCGCCAAATTATCGTAAGCGACACTCGCCAAATTATCGTAAGCGACACTTTTGTCGAAATGCGTTTTTTGTGGAAACTAAAATTTTAAACCGTAACGAACCCATCTCTGTTGATATTTCCCTCCAAAAGAACACCGTAATAATATAATAGAGGGAAATATCAACAGAGATGGGTCCGTTACGGTTTAAAAATATTAGTTTCCACAAAAAACGCATTTCGACAAGTGTCGCTTACGATAATTTGGCGAATGTCGCTTACGATAATTTGGCGGTAAGGGCTCGATATTGGTAAAAATGCTCGTATCCATCATACAAATATTTGCCTCACCGGAATTCGAAACCAGGCCCTCTGAATAGGCGATTTGGGGAAAATAATCTATCCATCGATCCTTACAAAAATCAAACAACTCGCATCGAAGACCTCAAAATAAAAAATGACTACGAATTAACGAATGATCATTATTTCGTAGTCATTTACGGTGTTTGGTAAAAATGTTTCAGGCTATTTACAATTGTTCTATGCTTTCAATTATAATAAACGTTTTATTTTTTCTTTTTGAAGTGAAACTTCTTTACGCACTCTTGACTTGGGGAGTAAGCTAGCGAACGTAAGCGTTAAGAAAAGTGTGATCGGGCGAGGCGAACGGGAGTTGAGTGGGGGATGTAAGCATGAGAAAGCAGTGCGCGTGCACATTTTCTTTCTCTCTTCTCTCATAGCCAAATACGTTCCGTATATCTAAGCACAGTGCAAGCCTATTGTCTGTATCACAGTGTAGGAGCAAGAGCGCGCGCACGCATTTTCTTTCTCTTTTTCTCTTACAGCTAGTAAATGAAAGAAGTTTCACTTCAGTTGTGTAGTCATAAGCACACTCGTTTTTTTCTGTTAAGAATATTTAAATAAAGAAATATAATCGATTTTTTTTCCTACGATAGTATCGAACAGATGATACAACTTTTATCTATGGTTATTGGTTATTTACTCAGTTTAATAGCCATTTATTTATTATTTTAAATATCCGCATAATATTTACATAATAAACACACATATGAAATTATAATTCAGAAGAAGATTTTTGATACATAAATGCGTCAAGCGCTATCTAGGCGGATTTGCCCATTCTCCTTTATAAATCTGAAACCACGTTAAAAGCTCACTGTAGGTGTGTGTGTGTCATTCACTTTCGCACTGCTGCTGTAAAATTTAATTTTATGTAGTTATAATTTTTATTTTTTAAGTATATAGTTAAATATAATTACTCGATGTCTAAATGTAAATAAAATATTACTAGATTACTTTTTTCTTTACATTTAGACATTATGCAGTTTTATGCTTATAAAATAAAAATTATAATTAATCATAATCAAAATCATTTATTCAGTTTAGGCTGTTACAAGCACTCATGAATGTCTAGAAGCTACGCTATCGGTTCGTAAATCTGCGGCGGGAGACCTTGTACTGAAAAGAACCGGCAAGAAACTCAACAAGGGCTGTTATAATATGCTATAATTGCTATTGCTTCCTCCAAATCTTTAATACCTGTAAAGGTATTCATTTAACATTTAAGAAAGGCTAGATGGAATTTGACACCTCGATCAGGGCCGCAGTAGCATAATGGTCAGTGCATTCGCCCGGATAGCGAAGGGTGCGTGTTCGAGTACTGTCTGCTGCCTGATCAGCGTGGAATTTTTTCTAGTAATATTTTCTTTAGATTAATTTTATGAAATAGGGATGATGACTATTTTTTTTTTCTTCGTTTATCAGGTAGATTATCAAAAAGTATTAGACACGTATTTTTTCTTTTTTCACATAATATAAACATTGCAGAGATATATTGATTTGAAAAGTCGCATGACGTCACGTTTTGGTACAATTTCCCCTAAAAATTGACGTCACGAGCCCCAAACCTTGACGCGCTATAACTATGTAATTTTTTGGTTGATTGCCCAAAGAAAAAATACGTGTCCATTATTTTTTAATCATCTTACTGACGGACTAAATAGAATTCCGTTTAATGTACCCCGGCATCACCCCTATTATACCATACTAGCAAACCAGTGAACCAAATGTTCACCAAAACCCGATTTAAAAAAAAATGTATTTAATTAATTGAGAACTTCGGAGATTTTGTGTGGTTTCGTTTGAAATTCGTGATTTCTCGAAAACCGGAAGTGCTACGTTACTCAAATCCGGTTTGTAGTCTTATCAGACTATTCTTAACTTATAACTTAAATATTCTCTGTATCTATCTCTTACGGTTTGGCCGCTGAAACAGCACCACAGACAGACAGACGGACGGACTTGTCTAATAGATAAGAGATTTGTTCGCCAACTCCTCACATGCCTTTTATCCTTTCGATTCAGGTGTAGAAGGTTCACAAACTGGCTGCGGAGTAAGGGCAGTAGCAGCCGGAGACTCCACATTGAGGGAATACCTGGAATGCAGTGTCACCTCAGGTTCGGGGTCCGGACTGCCTCTCATGGTGCAGAGGACCCTGGCCAAGCAGGTCACGCTGATGGACTGCGTAGGGAAGGTATGTTTAGTTACGTTAGTTAACGGTAGTTAGGGTCAAATAAATAAACTCAAAATTACAAACAAGAATTTTAAATAAAATACTTTATTAAGTAAATTAAATAATAAATTCATACATAGACAATAAAATTTTAAAAATCTTCCAATGAAATAACCGAACGCTCAATATAAGTCTTTCGAAGGTAGCTCGACAATTTCAAATAAAAAATCATTATTCTGACGATGCAGACCTGAAAAGGCTGCGAAACGTCAATAAATAAATAAAGTTTCGTGCATTAACCCGTAAAAACTAGTTTTATGTTTGTGATTTATTTATTTACTAGCGGCCGCCCGCGACTTCGTGCGCGTGGAGTTAGTTTTTTTTTTTTTTTTTTATAACACTTACACCAATTAGCCTAGCCCCAAAGTAAGCACTGTAAGTGCTTGTGTTATGGGATGCTAGGGTAACGGATAGAATACATATACTGTACATATATAAGTATATTTATATAGAAACTAGCTGACCCAGCGAACTTCGTACCGCCCTAAAAAAATAGGGGTTGTCCAGTGGATAAAATTGTGAATCCAAACCATTCTCAGATCCCCTTGAACACACACAAAAAATTTCATCAAAATCGGTCCAGTCGTTTAAGAGAAGTTCAGTGACATACACACTCACAGAAGAATTATATATATAAAGATACATATAAAACATCCATGACTGGAGTACAAATGCTCGTGTTCATCACACAAACATCTGCCCCCACCGGGATTCGAACCCGGGACCTCTCGAGTCGGCGAGACCATGAAACCCGGCGTACAAACCACTCGGCCACGGAGGTCGTCAAAGTTAGAAATAAAGGTTCACTGCTCGTTCCCCGTAGGCGGAAAATGGAAGCGAGTTACGAGTGGTAGGGGGAAAAAAATTGGACGATCCAAAAGAGTTGTACTATACATCCATTTTGAATAAAGATATGTATATTGATTTCTGATTTCTGAAAATACATTATTATACAATAGGGTATATGACAGTATTAAAAATAAAGTACCAATTGTTAGCATGTGTATTTAGAATGAATATTGACAGGAGTTTTTACTATTTTTACAGAAAAAGATTCATAATTTTACTAAAAACCCACGATAAAGATAATAGTTTTCTTGTCTATTGTCACGTGACCCAAAATGCTTGGGATTGGCGGAGCCTAAAACGACATTAAGTAAACTTCCGGTTAAAGTGATATTGCATTGTATCGTTTGACGTTTTAATAACAGTCGTGTGACGTCACACACTAGTAAGACGCCATATTGTCCATAGTAACGTTTTCGCGGCAACTTGAAAATGGAGTTTTAGATTTGGTTATTTTTACTGAAATACACAACAGAATGATGAATATCCACTTTTTACGGACTCCATAAACATTAGTCAATAAAGTTATATTAAAAGGACAATGTTAAAATTGGCCTAAGACCCAACACCAATTTGGCATTTATGATAATTCTTAGTATATTTTTTTCGATAATTATCAGTATTTAGATTGTGACGGACACTTCCAGTTAAGTAAGCTAAATTAAAAAGTTAATAAATAATCTGAGACAATAAATACCATTTTATGTGTATAATCTATGACAGCACTGCAAACAAAAAACACTTTCTTCCTAATTCCGGCACTTCACTTGGCTATTCGTATTTGCTATTTAAAAACATGACATCAGTCTGTCCTTTTCATTCCTTATTAAGCATGACAAGGACAAACTATTGTCAAGTGAAGGGCAGGCATAAACTCGATACTCTGTGGTTATGGTGCAGGCAGTTTGCATTCGCAGTAACCTGTGGCATTCGTGCATTCTCGTCAAAAAGTACTTTTTATATACGGAAAAATCTCGTTCGGATTACCTGTTGTGTGTGTTTATTTGCGATTGTTTTTCCTTTAATTTAACTATTTCGGCTATCTAATATGCCATCGATGTAACCAAAGAGCAGAGACCTTATTACCAAGTGCTAGTGAACCTGTGCCACAACATCCTGAGAGGACCATACTGCCAAATTATTCAAGAGCAACTGATACATATTCACGCTGCATATTTACACAATATACATGTGTTAAACAAATAAATACAATATGATACAATTGTCTGAAAAATAGTCAATCAATTATAAGAAAACTATTGTTTTTATTTTATTCATGATTCCTACCTAACCAAGTTTTTCCTAATACTTATTCTTTAAAATCGCACCGAATAAAATGAATTAGTTGTAATATTAATTCACTTCATACTGAGTTCATACTAAGTGCATAGGTTGACCTATGTTTCATTGAATATTAAACATAACCTCAAAAAATTTTAGTTTTCCTAATAATTTAAGTTCTCAGAAGTGTCCGTCAACAATCTTTGTTTTTATAGTCATTTACTTGCGATTTTGAACCTAGAAAATAATATTTCATGATTGTTGGTTCTTAGGCTGACTATGTATGGACGCAGAACAATGTCCTTTTCTCCTCAAGACGAGTATTGAAGAGAACCTTGCACTTTAACTTGCTCGTGTCTTTTTTAAACTTGCTATGTATTTTGAAAATTGTTTACTGGATATTTCGGGGCTTTTTTATAATTTTTGTAACATATTTTACATTATGTGATGGAAGTTGACCTCAATACATGTTTATAACATATTATTTGACGACCTCCGTGGTCGAGTGGTTTGTACGCCGGGTTTCATGGTGTCGCCGACTCTAGAAGTCCCGGGTTCGAATCCCGATGGGGGCAAATTTTTGTGTGATACCCCTAGTATCGCTTATCACAAGCCTGACAGTGCTTACTTTGAGGCTAGGCTAATTGGTGTGAGTGTTGGAAATATTTATTTTTATCATTATAAGTTTTTTTTTTATTTTTAAATACTGCATAAGATTTGCCTTTGAAATATTGTAATAACTGATATACAGGACCTGATAAAGATGATATAGCACATTGTATTGCTTCCAACCTGACTTCCATTAAATTTCATAGCAATATAATTGTAGCCACTCAAGGTCTAAAACCTATGTATTACTTTAAGGTGATGTAAACATTGCTGTACGTGACTGTATGTTTCCAAAATAAATAAAAAAAGGGGGCGTCCATAAATTACGTGACATGTTTAAAGGGAGGAGGGGGGCGAGTCAAATCTCATCTAATCTTACGTTGGAGAGAGGGGGGGTGGGTCTCGGAGAATATCACGCAATTTTTTGTCACAGTAGTATCTATTAAGTATTCTGTTAAATTTTTATTACACTTATAACTCTCAGCAATATTGATTACTAGTCATAACTAGTCGTAAATAAAAGCACGAAGCATTTTTGAAGTTATACTTCTTTAGGCGCGTTATGAAAAAATGATGAGAGTGAAATTTTAACATGCGCGCGCATCACTGTAACACAAAATTTTAACAGCATGAAGTTGGTCGCTAAAGCGAACTTTATGCGTTACTTTTGTGTTTACCGCACATTAAGAAAATCTACCAACAAAATAGAAATAGAATCTCTATTTAGTGGGTGCTAACGACTGCATTGTGAAGGCCTATCAAAAGTATTTATTAATCTGGAACAACGGAACCAAAGCGCGATTCAGGAGACTACAGCGCCATCTCTTGACCATTGGTGTAGTAGAACCAAAAACCACATCTTTATTTTTTGTAATAAAGTAACAGTTATAGGTATTCATATTTATAATATTTATCCACATTTTTTAGTTTGTATATTCGGAATACGTGTTTGAGTTTCATACAAGTGCAAATCACATATGTTCTAATAAATTATATTCAGTAGCGATTTTAATTGAATATTTTGATTATTTATTTATTTTTTCAAATTAAAACTGAACTTTATTGACTGTGTCCTTTTCCAGACTTTTTATTAATTTATTGTAATTAATTATTTGCATGCAATTAAAAACTAATTTTAAACGATGCCAAAGAAGGATAACTTCTCACGCGCCTACATAAGTACACGCACTCATTTTTTTTCTTTTTACAATAACAATCCAACGCGTTTACGAAAGAAACCCACATTTTGAAAAATCGCACGTGAGATTGGGGGATGGGGGAGAGGGTTGAATAAAGTCTCACGACATCTCACCAGGGGCGGAGGGAGGGACAGAAAATCCAAAAAAAAAACACCTCACGTAATTTATGGACGCCCCCAAAGAAAAAAAGTTTAATGTCAGCTTTTAATTTGACGACACTGTATGAAATAATACAGGGAGAAAAAGCAGCCCTTGCTGAGTTTCTTGCCGGTTCTTCTCAGTACAAGGTCTCCCGTAGATTTGCGAACCGACGGCGTAGCTTTCGGCTTTCACGAAATCGTCGAGAGCCAAACCTCCAATTTTGCAATTTTTATATACAATTTTCAGCTTCAACTACTGTTCTTGTCGCACGGTGTTTGCCAATGCATGACAGCAATCATCATCAGCCTATCAATGTCCCCACTGCTGGGGCACAGGCTTTCCCATGGATGGGTTAGGGAGATTGGGCCATGACCCACCACGCGGGCCCAGTGCGGATTGGTGGGTGCTAACGACTGCAGATGCAGCCGGGACCAACGGCTTAACGTGCCTTCCGAAGCACGGAGGAGCTCGAGATAGTAAATTTTTGGTCACCCATCCAATGACCGACCACTGCGAAAGTTGCTCAACTTCAACGACCGCAGCCGAACGCTAACCACTGGCACCATCGAGCTTTTCAAATACCTATTTCTTAAATATCTCTCAGTTCGCGTCCGCTATTAATCTAACTGTTTCCGTTGTCAGGGTCGCTACGGCGAAGTATGGCGAGGCTCCTGGTACGCGGACAGCGTTGCCGTCAAGATATTCTTCTCCAGAGACGAGGCTAGTTGGCGAAGGGAAACTGAAATATACAGCACTGTGTTACTGAGGCACGAGAACATTCTAGCGTATGTTGGCAGCGACTGCACCAGTAGGGGGAGCTGTACGCAGGTATGATAGCTTTAACTTTAATTGAGGAACTGAAAACGCGGAAAATAATTAAATAGAATTACATTTTACAGGACTGTATAAAACTGAATGACATACTCCAGTGAACCTTTGGCATGGTTTTTAATTTATAAATTTAGTAATTTTAACACTGTTCAGGCGGTTTTGATTGAAATTTATTTGAGACTAGCGGCTGCCCTCACTTCGCTTCGGTGTAGAGCTGAAGTGTAGACTACAGTTTTTTTTTCTCTGCCGTTGAATGGCTGTTTGGGAGAAACGTAAATTATATGACCTTCTTTCTCATAGAAGTAGGTACCGTAGTTAAGGTAGGTACTAAGAGTACTAAATCGACAGTGGAAAGGTAAAAGCCCCTATGCCGCCACTTTGGTCGAAAATTAGTTATATACTAGTGGCCCGCTTTGGCTTCGCTTCGGTGTTGAGCTGAAGTGTAGACTACAGTTTTTTTTTCTCTGGCTTGTATTATACACAATGAAATTCATCTATGATTCTTCTTATACCTGCATGCAAAGTCTCAGCCCGATCGGTTTAAAATTGACAAAGTTTCATACAAACTTTCATTCTCTATTTTATCCCCTTGGGGGTAGAATTGATCAAAATCCTTTCTTAGCGGATGCCTACGTCATCTACCTGCATGCCAAATTTCGGCAGACTGTGCGTTGATAGATCACTATGTCAGTCAGTCACCTTTGAGTTTTATATATATAGATTCAAATTCACCGGACCCGAAACCTCCGGATTGTAAAAAAAATGTAGTTTGATCAGATGCTTAATTATACATACCGTTTTGTTCGCCAGCTCCACAGTTTATATACCACTGATTTTTAGTTTTTTAAGAATCCCATAATAACCTAACATATTCCAGGCGAAAAAAAGTATCCAATATCTCAATCCAGCTCATAAACTACCAATATGCCTAGCAAATTTCATCCAAATTAGTTCAGTAGTTTTTGCGAGAGAGAGTAACAAACATACATCTGTTCACAAGTTTCATAAGCCTTCGCATTTATAATAATAGTAGGATTGTGACAAGGGCTTGGAGGAGAGATACAGTGATACATAGAATAGAATAGAATAATTTCTTTATTGCAAAACTGTTAGATTTAGTGATATTGCTAGATGTTAGTGCACAAAATTGAAATAAACAGTTACCCTAAGGCCCGGGGCACATTGGCGGCACGGTACAGCATGGGATCCTTCGGCATCCCTACATGTAAGCGTATACTGGCGGTGACAATGCCGTGGTATCCTTAGGTATGCCTCGACGTCCTTAAGCGTTCTGAGGCGTCCTTAGGCATGCCGAGGCGTCCTTAGACACAACCTTTCACAACAGTCTTATCTCTTCTTCAGAACGGTCTTAACGCAAGCTTGTTGTACGTGTGAGTATTTATAATGGTAGAATGGGACCTAGTTCTCATAGCAGTTCTTGCTGAAGAAGAAGAGAAAACTATACAATCAAAGAGAAGATTTGGGCGGGCGCTGTCTTGTCTTGTCGCGGTATCGTTCGGTATCCCGAAGACGGCCATAGCGTCGAATAGGCGTTCCGAAGGATGCCGACACGGCATGCCTAAGCATCTCACGGCATTGTTTTTGTACCTATGACCTTCAACATTGAAATTTAACTTTATTTTCATACTCTTTAGATATATTTTTATTCGTCGCCTAAAAATACCCTGCCATGCCGTGCCGCCAATGTGCGCCGGCGCTAATCGGGCATGCAATAGTCATTTTTACAAAACATTATTACTTATTAAAATATTCATTTAGATTCATCATCATCATCAGCCTATTAATGTCCCCACTGCTGGGGCACAGGCCTTCCCTATGGATGAAATAGGGAGATTGGGCCATGACCCACCACGCGGGTCCAGTGCGGATTGGTGAGTGCTAACGACTGCAGATGCAGCCGGGACCAACGGCTTAACGTGCCTTCCGAAGCACGGAGGAGCTCGAGATAGCAGATTTTTGGTCACCCATCCAATGACCGACCACTGCGAAAGTTGCTTAAGTTCAACGATCGCAGCCGAACGCGCTAACCACTTGCGCCATCGAGCTCCTCTGCGCCATCGAGCTCCTCAATTTTAGATTATAAAATGCATTATATAATAACCATTACTTCAGGGACCTTACAAACTTATATTCAGGAAGTGACCGCAGATAAGGCGGTAAATTATTGTATATTCGTATGGCAGACATAGAAGTTCTTCCATGCGGACCAGGCAGCGGACGGGACTCGAACCCGCACCCTTCGCAATCCGGCGAATGCACTGACCATTATGCTACCAAGGCCCTATTCGCCACGTCGAAATTTTCCTAGCCTTAAGCTGCAAGGCAGCGCCATCTCTTCGCATTGTAGGTCAACCCACAATGTCAAATGAATACTATTTCAAGTATTAAACATTTGAAAGAAGAAATTGCAATTATAGTTTTTTTTTTTATGAGTCCTGTCCGCTGCCTGGTCCGCGTGGATTTTGTTTCTAGTAAACTTTTCTTTAGATTTAAACATCTAGCAGTTAAATGCTTAAAAAAAAATATGTTTTTTTTTAAATTGCTGAATTTGATCGTAACGTTTCATTTGACGACCTCCGTGGCCGAGTGGTTTGTACGCCGGGTTTCATGGTGTCGCCGACTCGAGAGGTCCCGGGTTCGAATCCCGGTGGTGCCAGATGTTTGTGTGATGAATACGAGCATTTGTACTCCAGTCGTGGATGTTTAATATGTAATTCTATATAAATATATTTATATATGTACAGTATAATATGTATTCTATCCGTTACCCTAGTATCCCATAACACAAGCCTTAATGGTGCTTACTTTGGGGCTAGGCTAATTGGTGTGAGTGTTAGCAATATTTATTTATTTTATAACGTAAGCATTGTTTGTCCGCAGCTATGGCTGATCACCCATTTCCACCCGCTGGGCTCCTTATACGAGCACCTGAATCGCAGCACCCTCACGCGGCACCAGATGATGGCTCTATGCCTGTCCGCTGCCAACGGGCTTCTGCATCTGCATACAGAGATACACGGGACGCAGGTCAATATACCTACCTACCTAATTTAGACATTTGATTACAGAGACTAGTATGCTCAGCGGTTATTCTCTCTCAGGTTCGAGTGGTCTAGAGGCTCCAGACTGACAGGAGACTCCCTCAGTGGCATGGATGGATGAAATGCCATCCGCCTGGAATACCTCTAGAGGCACTCGCCATTTCTAGGCTTGTGGTCCCCCCCCCTTAGGATCTCGCCGTCCCCAAACCCGGTGACGCTGTAAAGGTCATCTGCGACCAACAGCATACAAACTCAAAAAAAAAAAATCAGCGGCTATAATAAGTGGAAAAATAGTGTTTCCTCAAATAAAGTTTATCATCATCTATTAATGTTGCCACTGCTGGGGCACAAGCTTTCCATATGGATGGAATAGGGAGATTGGGCCATGGCCATGAGCTTGTTAGCGCGTTCGGCTGCGATCGTTGAAGTTAAGCAACTTTCGCAGTGGCCGGTCTTTGGATGGGTGACCAAAAATTTACTATCTCGAGCTCCTCCGTGCTTCGGAAGGCACGTTTAGCCGTTGGTACGAGCACCTGAACCGCAGCACCCTCACGCGGCACCAGATGATGGCTCTATGCCTGTCCGCTGCCAATGGGCTGCTGCATCTGCATACAGAGATAGGGTGCGGCCAGAGTGCACTCAGATTCAGACTCAGATTCAGATTTCGAAAACAAGCGCGAGAAACAAACAGTGTAGTCTAAGCAGGTTGCTTGCTTTTTCTCGCGCTTTGTTTTCTGAGTCTGAATCTGAATCTGAATCAGGAGTGCAATCTGGCCGTACCCTTCGACTACACTGTTTATTTCTCGCACTTGTTTTCAGAATCTGAATCTGACTCTGAATCTGAGTGCACTCTGGCCGCACCCATACACGGGACGCAGGTCAATATACCTACCTACCTACTAATTTAGACATTCTATTATAGAATGGTGGGGAACAAGTGTCTTCTGTACTATTTTGATTAATAAATCGTTTATTTTATCGTTTAAACTGGTTTATTCGTATGAAATTACAATATTAGGGGCCGTCCATTAATCACGTTATTTCCCCTCCCCCCATCCCCCTTGGTGATACGTGATGAGGTTTATGACTCATCGATCTGTAAATCAATGATCATGATTATATAATCAATGAGAATGTGAGTAAAACTACTTATTAAGACATCAAATAAGTCAAATAATCTTTATTAAGTTCTCATTAATTTCAAACAAAATATAAAAAAAAGAAAAATATATATCTTTAAAAATCAACGAGACCGGACAAAATGTAAAATGTCCGGGCTTTTAACGAAATGTCCGGGTTTTTTGTCTGGACTTTTCATATAGTAACCCTAGCCGTGACATTCCTGCATTCCATGACGTGCTGGGGCGTTTCTTCTGCCTCCATGCATCCTTCGCATAGGGGGCTGTCTGTTACTCCTATTGTTTAAAGGTGTTTGTTTAGGGGACAATGACCAGTCAGGGTTCCTATAATCTTGCGAAGTTTGTCCCTATTCAGTCTGTTTTGTGTGCGGGCAAGTTTTGTCTTATTGCCGCCGGAACTGTGTTTTTTGCCAGTGACAAGGAATAACGCTTAATGGTTTCTTTCTTATTATTAAAAATACCACTTGATAATATATTAGAAACAGCTACGTACTAAATACCTTTTGGGACGTGGATAACGTGATGTCTGCTGCCAGGACCCGGGGAAAACTTATTGTTCACTGCACTGTTAACTTCGTTATAAAATCCACAGGCGTTTGCATAATATCTTAAGTGGACTCGACCATCGAGTTGTTAGCCGAAATGCTTTTATTTTATAAAGTGACTAGCTGTCCCAGCGGACTTCGTACCGCCATAAAAAAATAGGGGTTGGTGGTAGAAGGGTGAAAATTTAGGGTTGTATGTATTTGGGTATGATGTATCATAAAGAAACTTAAAAAAAAATCTAAAATTGAAAAAAAAAATTTGGGGTGGATTACCCTTAACATTTAGGGGGATGAAAAATAGATGTTGTCCGATTCTCAGACCTACCCAATATGCACACAAAATTTCATGAGAATCGGGAATGTCGTTTCGGAGGAGTTTAACCACAAACACCGCGATACGAGCATTTTATATACATATTAGATTATTTTTAATAATAAGAATGAAACCCTTAAGCGTAATTCCCTACAAAATTAATTGTAACTATATATTTATATTCTAGATGATGTAATGGAAAGTGACTTCAGACGTATCTCTGAAGTAATTTTTCAACTTGACGACACTGTATATTACAATACAGGGAGAAAAAAAAACAGCCCTTGCTGAGTTTCTTGCCGGTTCTTCTCAGTACAAGGTCTCCCGCCGTAGTTTTGCGAACCGATGGCGTAGCTTCTTGACCTTCACAAGTGCTTGTAACAGCCTACACTGAATAAATGACATTTCATTTCATTATCGCCGGCATCGTTCACCTCTTTTCACTTGCAGGGTAAACCGGGTATAGCTCACCGCGACATCAAAACGAAGAATATATTGGTGAAAGTGAATGGCGAGTGTTGTATCGCCGACTTGGGGCTGGCCGTGACCCGCGCACACCTGCTGCAGGCGCCGGTCGACCCGCGCCAGGGGACCAAGCGGTACATGAGCCCGGAAGCCCTAGATCAGAGGTTAGTACAGTGAAGAATTTTTTCAAATTAAAACTGAACTTTATTGACTTCGTCCTTTTCCAGACTTTTTATTAATTTATTGTAATTAATTATTTGCATGCAATTAAAAACTAATTTTAAACGATGCCAAAGGAGGATAACTTCTCACGCGCCTACATAAGTACACGCACCCATTTTTGTAATTATCAATTATTTGCATGCAATTAAAAAATATTTTTAATGATGCTAAAGAAGTATAACTTCTCACGCGCGTACATAAGTTACACGCATCCATTTTTAATCAAGAAAGAAGTAAAGTTTACTAGAAAAGAAAAATCCACGCGGACCAGGCAGCGGACGGGACTCGAACCCGCATCCTTCGCTATCCGGGCGAATGCACTGACCATTATGCTACCACGGCCCTATTAGCTATACATCTAGCAGTTCAATGCTTAAAAAATAAATAAAATCATAACTATAATTGCTATTTCTTCTTTCAAATGTTTAATACTTGAAAAAGTATTCATTTGACATTGTGGGTTACCTCAATGCGAAGAGATGGCGCTGCTTTGCAGCTTAAGGCTAGGAAAATTTCGACGCGGCTAATAGGGCCGTGGTAGTATAATGGTCAGTGCATTCGCCCGGATAGCGAAGGATGCGGGTTCGAGTCCCGTCCGCTGCCTGGTCCGCGTGGATTTTTTTCTAGTAAACTTTTCTTTAGATTTAATCATCTAGCAGTTAAATGTTTAAAAAATAAATAAAATCATAAGAAAGAAGTAGTTTTTACAAAGATAGAGACGATCTTCAGGCACCAACCCTTGGGTAACTTAGATAAAAATAATTGTATTCGTCTGAAATCTAATATAAAATAACTAGCAAAACCAGTGAACCAAATGTTCACCAAAACCCGATTTAAAAAAAAAATGTATTTAATTAATTGAGAACTTCGGAGATTTTGTGTGGTTTCGTTTGAAATTCGTGATTTCTCGAAAACCGGAAGTGCTACGTTACTCAAATCCGGTTTGTAGTCTTATCAGACTATTCTTAACTGATAACTTACATACATATTCTCTTTATCTATCTCTTACGGTTTGGCCGCTGAAACAGCACCACAGACGGACGGACGGACTTATCTAATAGATAAGAGATAACCATCGTCAAGTTGTTTCAATATATTCCTAAGCCCCTGAGTTCTATCCACTCTGGCTAGAACTCCTCAGTACTGCATTATAGGAATCATAGTACTGCACTTCCTTTGAACGCGCGTAACGCTCCAAGCAGAATACTGTAATCCGACACAGTATATGTATGTGCATCATCATCATCAGCCTATTAATGTCCCCACTGCTGGGGCACAGGCCTTCCCTATGGATGGAATAGGGAGATTGGGCCATGACCCACCACGCGGGCCCAGTGCGGATTGGTGGGTGCTAACGACTGCAGATGCAGCCGGGACCAACGGCTTAACGTGCCTTCCGAAGCACGGAGGAGCTCGAGATAGTAAATTTTCACCCATCCAATGACCGACCACTGCGAAAGTTGCTTAACTTCAACGATCGCAGCCGAACGCGCTAACCACTTGCGCCATCGAGCTCCTCAGTAATGTACTATAGGAATGTTTAATTTCATTGTAACTTTTCTTTTAATTTATGGTTTTATGATATATCTTTTTGATACTGTCACTGTTACAAAATTATAACTGTCAATAATAAAACATACAAAATACGAGAAGACAAATCTTAAATATAGACAATAGAGAAGATAATTGGTCAGTGCATTCGCCCGGATTGCGAAGGGTGCGGGTTCGAGTCCCGTCTGCTGCCTGGTCCGTGTGGATTTTTTTCTATTAAAAACTTTTCATTAGATTCAAACATCTTAACAGTTAAATGCTTAAAAAAACACACACAAATACAAATCTGTCTTCTTATTTACATAATAATATACCAAATCCTACAACTCTAATACCCAAGCAGACGAGCATTATTATAGTTACGTTTTCCAGGAATCATAGTACTCGCGTACTTGTAATCTAAAATTTTACTGTCATTGATTATAATTAATTTTATTAATTATGTATTTTTGAAGTTATACTTCTTTAGGCGCGTTATGAAAAAATGATGAGAGTGAAATTTTAGGATGCCGCGCGCATCACTGTAACACAAAATTTTAACAGCATGAAGTTGGTCGCTTTAGCGACCAACTTCATGCGTTACTTTTGTGTTTACCGCACATTAAGAAAATCTACCAACAAAATAGAAATAGAATCTCTATTTAGTGGGTGCTAACGACTGCATTGTGAAGGCCTATCAAAAGTATTTATTAATCTGGAACAACGGAACCAAAGCGCGATTCAGGAGACTACAGCGCCATCTCTTGACCATTGGTGTAGTAGAACCAAAAACCACATCTTTATTTTTTGTAATAAAGTAACAGTTATAGGTATTCATATTTATAATATTTATCCACATGTTTCTAGTTTGTATATTCGGAATACGTGTTTGAGTTTCATACAAGTGCAAATCACATAATTATGTTCTAATAAATTATATTCAGTAGCGATTTTAATTAAATATTTTGATTATTTATTTATTTTTTCAAATTAAAACTGAACTTTATTGACTGTGTCCTTTTCCAGACTTTTTATTAATTTATTGTAATTAATTATTTGCATGCAATTAAAAACTAATTTTAAACGATGCCAAAGAAGGATAACTTCTCACGCGCCTACATAAGTACACGCACCCATTTTTTTTATGTATATTGATATTGTAGTGCCCCTAAAGGGTTCATATTTGGATCTGAAACTAAATCTTAAGAACTTGTAATTACTACATGAAACAATAAATATATTGAATTGAATTGAAGTTTAGGGCTTATCCTGAAGGGAAGCCCTAGGGACTAGGGAATGATAATACTTGAGCTTCACTTTGTTTATTTGAACTCTGAGAAAAAACAATAATCTTTCTATTCTAACCGATCGAGTCTGTGCCTGAATTCTATCTCCCAGAATATTCGATATGAGACAGAAGGTTCACATATTAGTGATTTTTTTATATATAAACTAGCTGACCCAGCGAACTTCGTACCGCCATAAAAAAATAGGGGTTGGTGGTAGAAGAGTGAAAATTTAGGGTTGTATGTATTTTTGTATGATGTATCATAAAAAAATAAAAAAAAATATCTAAAATTGAAAAAAAAATAGGTGTGGATTACCCTTAAAATTTAGGGGGATGAAAAATAGATGTCCGATTCTCAGACCTACCCAATATGCACACAAAATTTCATGAGAATCGGGAAAGCCGTTTCGGAGGAGTTTAACCACAAACACCGCGACACGAGAATTTTATATATTACATTATTATCCTCTCAGTATGAACGCGGCCTGCTTCGAGACGTTCCTACGTTGCGACATCTACGCGTTCGCGCTCGTACTATGGGAAGTCTGCCGGCGAGTGAGGCCCGCGAGGGAGTACCGCGTCCCCTACTACGAGCTCGCGCCCGCGGACCCCAGCTTCGATGACATGCGCAAGATCGTGTGCGTCGACGCTGCCAGGCCGGCACTCACCAACGACACGCAACCGGTGAGTTTATTAAGAGTGTTTCTATAGGAGAGTCGCAAAAATCAAAAATCCGGCTCGAAGGACCAACAAGGAAATTCACTTTAATAGCGATGCGCACCCTGTGCATCATTATTAAGACTTTCATTTAGTCTTTTCTATAGGAATATGTTGAAAATAAATTTCAAGCTCGAAGGACCACCACGGTGATTGTCACTTACTGCCAGGCCGGCCCTCACCAACGACACGCAGCCGGTGAGTCAATAGGAAAGTCGTGAAAATTAACAAAATTCCGTCTCGAAGGACCAACAAGGAAACTCACTTTAATAACTTTAGTAACCTGTCATTATTACCACTCCAATATATATCTCTCCAATCCCAACTTGAGGTCTCCGCACGGAGTACCCCCACTAGAGTCCGCATCACGCAAATTTTGTTTGGAATCAAAATCGCCAAAGTCGGCGGCGTGCAGGGAGATCAGCCGCGTTGTGATTGTACACGTCAAGGTCAGATGATATACTCAGTGCAGCGAAGTGATGAGGCTAAGATCGATTTTAGAAAATATCGATATTTTCTATCGATAAATAAAGGACACCCGGCGTTATGTGCCAAAGTTGTATACTTTTTTAATTTTTTTATCTGTGTTTCATAATTGGGTAACGTAGTCTTCATAATTGGGTAATATTGTCTCTGGGCATTGAAGTAGACGGATCAGCAAAATCACTACGTTCATCCTGCAAATGACACTGTAATGTTTGTATTAGATATTGTAATTTAAACATTTTTGAGATTACTTAAAGTTGAAATAAATTATATGTTATATCAAAACAGAAGATTTGCTATTCATTAAGGAAAGCACTGAGATGAAAAGCCAGACAATCATACCAGAACTGGTAATAGAAGCGTTGGCACAGCATCCTGAAGCAAAAGGCGTCGTTTTTTAGGAAGCTGGAAGCTGTCAGTGGTAAAGTGACGAGAACATATGTAACTGTTTACAGTTGGAGTCCAATCTTTACGTTTAGTTGCACTTATCCAAAGTTCCTTCATCTTGGCACATTTTGGAAACCTATGAAATAAATAAAACACGTAATGTTACTGTATTTTGATTCTCGCATCAGTCTGTAAGATATCACCTTAAATATCTCTTTAAAGATTTTGCTCGTTGCTGTTCTCGTGAAAGGCACATGCGATATACAGACTTAATGAATTTAATATTAATACGGTGACGTCCGTGGCTCTTGACTTAGCACACGCAAAATAACCTAAGTATAACCAAATTATTGATTTTGAAGGAACTTGGTAAATACTTATCAAATTTTATGCTAGCTACCACCCGCGACTTCATCCACGTTAACTTTAGTTTTTTGAAAATCCTAAAGAAACCTGACATTTTTCCGTTACAAAAAGTATTCTATACAACGATATTTTATACCCTAGATACGACAACATGTACAAAATCGTGGCCGAAACGTGACCCAAAGGTACATTTGACGATTCACAGAGGTCCGTAAGATGATCGCGTGGTCAAAAACAATGTAATGCATTATTTAAAAAAAAGTCACCTTTAATGCATACGGCATAAGCTCTTAATTAAAACGCATGCATCAAAGATTTATGGCAGTTCAAAATGCGAGTTCCTAAAATTTTACGACTTATTGTTATATGCGAAAGAAAATAGACCTTATTTTTTTTAACTTTTCGCGCTCAATTCTGAATGTGCTGTTAGCTATTATAGCAGGTACAGACCGCGAAGAAAAAAGACGGCTATAGGGCGACGTATAACCGACCATGCTTTTGAGTATCACAAATATGTTATATTAAATCAGTTTATAGTAAGTATTACAATAAAATTTGCTTCAAATGCGTTAAATTTATAATAATAATAAAAACGTTTATTTGGCTCAAATTATATAAATAACTTATTGTATTACATAAAGATGACTATGTACCAAATTATAAAAACATTAATTAGATACCTGTCGAAAAAACAACACTTTACGTACTATTAGTATTTTTTTCGCATTTTTACGGAGCTCTGCGGCATTTTGACTTTTCATCGGTCCGCGCGTGACTGTAAACCAAGAAGTGCTTGAATAAAGTTTAAGCACTTCTTGATTGGGACACATTTTGAGCGCTCGTGGTCTATCTAGGGTATTTAATATCGTTAATTCCATGTCTTTATCTAGGTCATAAAGTATGCGCACTTAATTTCATACAAATCGGTTTAATCGTGTAATAGTAACAAACATCCATACAAATTTTCGGGTTTAAAATTTTAGTACGATATGATTAAAAACTGTTGGTTGTATACTCATGATATCTGTTATTGCATACGATGAAATAAATAGTTTTTATTTATTTTTTCTATTTCCGTAGCTGACAAACTTATCGATAAACTTACGGGTACAGACATGAGCTGCGTCAAGTCACTAGCAATACACGTGCCGGTGTGAGAGCGGAATAGCATATATGATGCAGCGCATGCGAGAAAGGGATAGTGTTAAAAGACATCAACGCGTTCACCAAAAAATAAATACAATTAAAAGCAATTTCATATAAGAGTATTTTTGTCTTTTTGTAATGCATTTAAACTTACCGGTGAAAAGTAATACCATCTTTTTGAAGACTGGAAGTTTTACTCCACTTTCCACATAATTTAATTGCACAGTACGGCATTTTTTCTAGTTTTTTAACGCAAAAACGAGAGAAGCACTTCTGCTAACGCTCGGCTTCGGAATGAAACGATGTATAGCGACGTCTGTGGGCGTGTCTCACGCATACGTAATATACTACTTAAGCTTGGCGTAAGCGCTTGCCCTTGTATGCGGACTCTAGTGGGGGTGCTCCATGGGTCTCCGAAATGTCAAATGTTCTTGCTTGTGGGTTGACTGCGCGGGTTTATTTCTTGTTAAAATGATGTTGTGATAAATCGTTGTACTTTTTTAATTCGTTTTTGTATTACTTGGTATGATATAACCTCCAAAACTTCAAAGAAGATTATCTATAAATCTAGACTTACTATAATAAAGTAAATAAGACGAATCAAAAACGATCTGCAACCTGTGTGTCATTATTACCACTCCAATATATATCTCTCCAATCCCAACTACTATGACCACTCCAATACCACCCCAAAAGGACACTGATTTCCCGCCTTGCTGAACCGTTCCAGTGGCCGTTCTTTGCCTTTCAGAGTCTTCAAGTCTTCTCCAAACACGGAGACGTCGGTTATCTTGGATGAGTACTGGAATTCTACTCTCTTTCTCCGAAACGAAATTTCGGCAACGAACGAATTTTAAACGAAATTTCGCCAGTGACCCTACTCTATTTCATCTTCGAACACGCACATAAAGTTCGGAATCACAGACAATTATCGTGAATGAACGAATGGAATGAGTTATGTTTGTGAGTTCTTTTTGTCTACACTTTTTAGATAACATTTTTTATTTCAAAAACAATACAACTTTATGACAATTTTTTTGATTACATTAAAACAACCTCTTTTGACAGTGTTAGCCGACTAATTTGTAGAGTTTATGCAATCGAATGTATGTCAACCTAAATTTGTCGTGTAACACTTTGAAGCATTGGCAATACAATAATAAACAAAAATTTGATTTATTTGTAAATTTTGCATACTAAAAAAGTTCCTCACGCTAAGCAGCCTTAATTAAATTAAACAAAAAATGTGTGCGTGTACTAGTGTACACACGTAAGAAGTGAAACTTCTTTATGGCCTTATTTTTCGAAAAATGATCTACATGCAACTTTCCAGAAATTAATCCAGCCTTGTGTAAGCAATTCTGAATGGTCTGAGTGCTAACTTCAAGTCCGGAGGCGGCCCGTACTTCTGCTTCTAATTTAGTGGCGTTTATTGTTGGGTTGCGAACTACCAGCAACCTGATGTAGCGCTTCTGAGCAGCTGTCAAAACAGTTGGGCGACCGCTGCGGGGTCGATCAGTTAAATTACCCATGCCGTGGTACCTCTGCAAAGTGGTTACTACACAGGATTGGGATATGGCAACTCGGCGTGCTATTTCTCTCGTGGAGAAATAGCACGCCTTCTTCCCTTATAGTCTCGTAAAACATCTGACAATACTCGTGGCATTTTTTAAATCACAACTTTCCGTGAAAAAATATTTTAAATTCGATAATATTGACAAAGACAGAATTCTGAATGAAGCCAGAAACATATTAACGTGTCGTGTTGTGTGGTGGCGCGCCAGAAGCACATCGATTTCATACATTTACTATGGTTAGAGACATATTTACGTATCGTGTCGTGTCGACGCTTTAACCTCTCTATCTCCCTCTAACCCATAATAAATGTAAGAAACCGATGCGCCACGTCACGCCACGACACGTTAATATGTTTCTGGCTTGAGTGTCAGCTTGGATTGCATGTCTTTTTATTTGGAAAAACAATTGAATTATTTTATTGTTTTACGTTCTAATTTTAAAATCTTATCAGAATAATAAATTGCAAACAAGTCTTCTGTAACACAAAAAACAATCTGTTTTTCAAAGTGATCGCAAAGTTTTTTTTGATGTGCGTAAGTTAAATAATATATAATCTCTCAAAGTGACAGTGTTGACTTTGAACAAACTTAAAAAATAGCAGTTAAATGCTTAAAAATAAATAAAAACATAACTATAATTGCTATTTCTTCTTTCAAATGTTTAATACTTGAAAAAGTATTCATTTGACATTGTGGGTTTACCTACAATTCGAAGAGATGGCGCTGCCTTGCAGTTCCGCGTGGATTTTTTTCTAGTAAACTTTTCTTTAAATATTATCGAACTGAGACCATGACTGTTACCCGTTTGTTCGCAGACTATGGCCGGTATGGAGAATCTAATGCGCGAATGTTGGCACCAGAACTCGTCTGTCCGTCTGCCCGCGCTACGGATCAAGAAGACTCTACTCAAAATAGCTGCCAACGACAACTCTATACGGCTCTCTGATGACAATGAGGTGCCAGTCTAACCAATGCACCCTTATATGGACGTACAACGTGAGTTTCAAAATAATTTCGGAAGTAAAACAAATGAATTTTCAACAAAAGTTTACGACTTTCCAACCATATTAAATACCCTAGATACAACAAGACGAACTAAATTGTGGCCGAAACGTGTCCAACAGGTACATTGTACGGTCCACGGAGCTCCGTAAAATGATCGCGTGGTCAAAAACCATATAAGGCATTATTTAAACATTGAAAGTCACCTTTAAAACATACTGTATAAGGTCTTCATTAAAACGCATGCGTCGAAGACTTCTGACAGTTCGAAATACAAGCTCGTAAAATTTTACGACTTATTGCTATTCATGGAAGAATATAGACCATATTTTTTTGACTCTACGCGCAATAGTTGACTCATGTCGAATTGTATTAAATAAATGTTTATTTCTTAAAGTATTTGATCTAAGGAACCTAAATATATTTTCGATTTCACTTCATAAAAGCAGAAGATTGCTGTAGAAATTTAATTTAAAAAAATATTTTTTAGTCTATACTTTTTAAACACTAAAAACGCTGTTCGCCACATCCGACACGATTGTGACGTCTCTTTTATTAAACAAGTTGTTTAAAACAACTGAATGTCATTCATACATAACTTTAAAACTTGTATTATTAAAACTGATTATAAATGAAGAGACTTAAAATATTATTCAATGAGTACTTACATCAAAGTGATCTTCGCAAAAATAAATTTTACTATGAGTCGATAAAGTTGCAGGATCACTTTTAGCAAGTGCTAACCAGGTATTGCGTAGGTTAATTTCTTTCGGCACTTTAATCCACAACTTTCAAACTGGAGTCTTCAAGGATGTGTTTTTACATTCTCGTACAATACAATAATGATAATTACTATATTTTTCGTGGTATTTATTAGAAATCATGTTTTTTTTATTATAAACTCAGATAGGTTATTTTTTACGTGCTTACCAGTTTTTGTTTACTACCGTCGACGTCATAGCATAGACAAACTATAGACTAAAATGGCCGACAGCGTTTTTGTATGTCCATGAAAAGTCTATTTAAAAATTAAAGTTTTGTAGCTTTCTAGGTCTCAAAAAAATACAATACATTTTTTTCGGTCTAATAGAACATTTATATACCATTTAAAACCTTTTTCCAAAAAGGGTCTACTAGCCTATTCTGAATGCGCTGTAACTAATATAGCAGTTACGGACCGCGAGGACAAGAGACGGCTATACGGCGACGTATAACCGACCATGCATTTGAATATCACAAATATTTTATATTAAATCAGTTACAAAATTTGGGTCAAATGCGTTAAATTAACAAACATTGAATAGAAACCTATCTAAAAAACAGTAAATAAAACTAGTTTTTACGGGTCATTGCACGAAACTTTATTTATTTATTGACGTTTCATAGCCTTTACAGGCTACGTCGTCAGAATCAAACTTTTATTTAATTTGTCGAGCTACCTTCGAAAGACTTTTATTGAGCAGGTAGCTCGGATCAGGATTTCGAAGGTTCGACAAATTAAATAAAAGTTTGATTCTGACGACGTAGCCTGTAAAGGCTACGAAACGTCAATAAATAAATAGAGTTTCGTGCATTAACCCATAAAAAACTAGTTTTATTTAATGAGTGATGTGCGTGAAAACCTAAGAAACAAATAAGAAAAAACAGTACTTTTTGTACTATTTATTTTCGTTTTTTTTCACGGAGCTCTGTGGCATCTTGACTTTGTAACTTCACACACACTTCTTGATTGGGACACATTTTAAGCGCACGTGGTCTATCTAGGGTATTTAATATTGTTGCTTTATTCATATATAAAGCCAGTTTGATCGATACATTCAAATAATGTGAGTTTCCAACTGATTTCGGATGTAAGCTTAGATTAAAACAAAAAGGGTAGATACGGTACGCTCATACTTGCATCAAACAAAAACTGATCCCACGGCAGCGCGAACGGGAAGGCGAGATCCGCGTCACTGCATTACCGACCCGAACGAAACAGCACGTTAAGTTTCAACGGCAGCGCGAACGGGACGGCGAGATCCGCGTCACTGCATTACCGACCCGAACGAAACAGCACGTTAAGTTTCAACGGCAGCGCGAACGGGACGGCGAGATCCGCGTCACTGCATTACCGACCCGAACGAAACAGCACGTTAAGTTTCAACGGCAGCGCGAACGGGACGGCGAGATCCGCGTCACTGCATTACCGACCCGAACGAAACAGCACGTTAAGTTTCAACGGCAGCGCGAACGGGACGGCGAGATCCGCGTCACTGCATTACCGACCCAAGCGAAACAGCACGTTAAGTTTCAACGGCAGCGCGAACGAGACGGCGAGATCCGCGTCACTGCATTACCGACCCGAACGAAACAGCACGTTAAGTTTCAACGGCAGCGCGAACGAGACGGCGAGATCCGCGTCACTGCATTACCGACCCAAGCGAAACAGCACGTTAAGTTTCAACGGCAGCGCGAACGAGACGGCGAGATCCGCGACACTGCACTACCGACCAATCACGCGACCAGTACTCGACGTCACTACCGAATAAGATTCAAAACAAACAGCAATTTTTATGAAAAAATATATTTTATAGTACTTACGAATGAAAAGTGATGCCGTGGGTTTTATTTTTAGTTCTTGAGCAATTTGAGCACTTTTTAAAAACACACTTAGGGATTGTTTTATCATTTAAACACAAAATATTAGCAATATTTCTTTTTGGCGTTCACATGTACGTCGTTTGCATGTCAAGTTGTGACTAAAGCGATTAGGGTCGTGGACCACAATTGGTGCGGATCACTTTTGTGAGGCTAGTGCCGTTTCTACCCTTTTTGTTTTAATCTAAGGATGTAAGACACGAATTGGCTAATAGAGAGTATGAAAGATGAAGATAGCCGTCAATGGCACTTCTTTACGTCTCTCTGATGATAATGAGTTGCCAGTCTAACCAATGCATCCTTATTGTATCGATACAAAGTGAGTTTCCAACTAATTTCAGATATAAAAAACGTATTTGTTAACAAAAGTTTGCGGGTTTATTTAGATGACACGCCAGTATGATCGATACATCCAAACTTTATGAATATGTGTATTTTATATTGTTTTAAACTTTCATGGTCACTAACATTATAGTAATATAAGTTATTTACGGGATTATTACCATGTACCTTGTTTTCAGCGAGTTTTCGATATTTCGGCACTGTTGCATACAGTGATCATGGCGCTTGCAACAGTGCCGAAATATCGGAAACTCACTAAAAACAAGGTACATGGTAACAATCCCGTAAATAACTAATATTATGTGTATTTTGATCTATTTCGCCCGTTTTGCATTTTTAAAACGCATATTAATGACAAGATAATAAAGAATATAGTGCTATTGTGACCGTTGCATGTTAAAACTTTAAATTTGGTTTTTGGAAACCGTGATTTTGTTTCTACTTTTTACAATACAGGCATTTCCCGTAGCTATTCGTATTTCCTATTTGTAAATTTGTAAACAGTCTTTCCTGTTCATTCCCTAAAGACCTCAGATTATTGAACTAAAGGCAGATGGAGCTCGCGCAACACGCAATGCGTGTTTGCTCGTTTCTTTGATTGTCTGCAGTTTTATTGACTCTGCACTTCTTTGATTATGCTACCGCGCCCCTGATGGCCGTGTCGAATTCTTTGTAGCCTTTCTTAAACTGCAAGGCAGCGTTGTAGCCTTTATTTAGATTTAAACATCGAGCAGTACCATGCTTAAAAATATATAAAGAATATAACATATATATAATAGTCGCTTTTTTGGTCTATATGTAATGACGAGATAACTATATGAGGCGACTTTATGACTTGCTATGCTTTAGTTTTTGTTCTGAGCGTTATACTGCTGTCAAAGTCACAAATAGCAAACACGAATAGACAAGTAAATTGCTACACTTCACTTGGCTATTCGTATTTGCTATTTGCGAACTAAACAACAGTCGGTCCTTATCCTGCTTTATAAGGAATGAAAAGGACAGACTGATGTCAAATTTACAAATAGCAAAAACGAATAGCCAAGTGTAGTGCCAGCATAACTATTTAATTTTCCACGTGGCGTTTAACATTGTAAATAATAAACATAAATTTAAACTAAATGGATTAGTTACTTAAATACAAGATGAAGTGCCGAAATAGTATTGTAATGTAGCGTGTAATAATTATAATAGTAATACTGTGTATTTTGTGTATAAATAGTGTATAATATTAAGCGGTACGTGAATTTTGACAATTTACAACTTGCCGATATTAATATGCAGTAGAAATTCTTCTTTTTGGGCTTTTGTCTTTCATTCTACTAATGAGGATCCGTAACGATGTTAAATGAGAATGCAGATTTATAGAGCTAACGATTCCGTTAAATACAGTGGTTAAGTTTTTGTTCTACGACAAATATTGACGAAGTTATGATCAAATTAATAAACGAATTTTCGGCTGTTCGCGTGGTGACTGTGGCGTCACAGAGCTCTAGCGCTCGGGCGCGAGCGTTGGTAGAGACCAGGGATGTAACGAAGGTATATTTATCGGAACCGAAGTCGGAGTCGGAGTTTTTAAATTTGATTTATCGGAGTCGGAACCGGAATTGGAGGCAGAGTTCGGGTCAGCGGCAGAATCAGCAATGGTCACCAGAGACCTTTTTTCGTTTTAATTATAAAATAACCTTTTTTTTTTCAACACACACCAATTTGCCTAGCCCCAAAGTAAGCACTGTAAGGCTTGTGTTATGCGTTGCTAGGGTAACGGATAGAATACATATACTATACATATATAAGTATATTTATATAGAAATACATATTAAACATCCATGACTGGAGTACAAATGCTCGTATTCATCACACAAACATCTGCCCCCACCGGGATTCGAACCCGGGACCTCTCGAGTCGGCGACACCATGAAACCCGGCGTATAAACCACTCGGCCACGGAGGTCGTCGTTTTCATTTAAATTTACTTATTATTAACGCAGACTCCCAACGCGACAGGTATGAACCAGCTCGTAACGGTCGACGCAGGCCGCCGTCGCTATTTGCTATGCTTCGACCTCCGCTTAAAACCTCCGATTTAAAAGTTTCGGAGCCGAAGTCGGAACCGAAGGTGTAATAATAAATAATCGGAATCGGAGTCGAAGCTCCGTAACATCCCTGGTAGAGACGCTACTAAAGTTCGACCGGAGTGAAACACGATCGAGCTCTGTGACGTCACACGGTTTCGGCAGCCAGTGTATAGCCGTATTGTCTACCATAAAATTAGTTATAAAATCGCAACGAATGAACCGATTTCGATGAATTAAA